GAGTTAAAACTTATCCTATTTATTGAACCACGCTTAACATTTACTGTCAAGTGGACGAATCAAATTAGAAAAAATGAAAATTCATCGGGAGTCTTAAGTTCGTTAACTTCATTATCATGCATTTCTGAAACTATTTTGTGGTCAATGCACACCTTAAGCTCAGATGCCCTTGCCCCAGTGCAAAACTATAAAATGTGGTACTATCTTAAGGGGAAGGGAAAGGAATTCATAGTAGATGCTGAACCTCTTCCAAATCTCAATCCAGTTGTTGAAACAAAGTCAAACTAATCCCCACAATGTGCAGATGATTATTAGAACACCTAAATATCAGTTTTCACGATTTTGGGAAGCTTATTATGTTGGGAAAAGTTAAGAGGAGGAAGACAATCCAGCATGAAGACAGAAGCTTACTGATCCGGGTATGTATAGTCGGCGTTTTCCTCCTATTTTCATGCCCAAAATTCCTTCATCAAGTCCCTTTATCACCTATTCCATTCATTGGGTTGAAAATCAGTATAGCCTACCAATAAGCACTTGAACAACAATATTTTTGCGGCCAAAAAGAGAAAATGACAGTACTAACTATTCTCAAGGTTTGAACAGCCCATACATGGGTCAAATTCTTAAAATTCAGCAGCAGCAACATATGAATTTACCTGACCAGAGCCAACGCGAAAAATGTAAGGCTGGCCTTTCTCCAATGAACTGTACAATCAAAGAGGAGGAAAAAGAGCAAAACATAATAAGCTTTTGCATCTAACCAAAGTAACAAACTTCATAATAATTCTCAGCTTAAGTATATTTAATTGATTGTTAACAGAGCAGGTCCTAAGGAGCAAAATGCAAAATATATGGTATTCAAAACCAAAATTGGATGAAAACAAACAAGTCTACATTATCACTAAAACATTCTGACAGCATTTGCTGTTTGCTAGGTATATCTAATTGGTTATTTTTTATATGTTACACTCAGATGTCCAACATCTAACTAGGTAATTCTATAAGTTCACTCAAACCTTCTCAAGTCTACAATATAACAAATAACACTGAGAATCTTTTAACTAAATTACTGCAAGGAAAGAATGCTAGAATTCAGCAATTGACAGATTTACCTATCAAATATTTGTCCAGATGGAACCATCGCAACGTAGTTAGCAGCCACCTGTGTTTTTTAAGTTACATAAGTAGAATAAATAGAGTGTGGTCAGAGGCACTTGGAAACGAAGGTAACCGCTGATATATTGGTGGTAGAAAAATATACTAACTCCATGGCAGAAAGAATGATAGAATTCAGCAACTGACAGGTCTATGGTTGGTTACACAGAAGATAGTTTTTATTTTTTGATAAGATGATTTAATACGGAGATAGCAATAGATATAATGGCGCTTCACCAACTATATGGTTGGTTTACATAAGGAATTTTGGAAGTTCGTATGGAGGCACATGTGAATTCATGGCCGCTATGAGGCAGTGTCATTCATTAGTATGCACTGAATTTCTGCCTAGAACGTGAAATAAATATGTGATATGAACTCTGCCTACCGAAGCAAATTCAGCTGGTCCGCAGGCATAAATGATCAGTTTAGGGATTTATTTTTACAGAATTGGCATCGGGTTGTTCTTTGCAGAATAGAGACAAGCATACACGAAAACCTGTATAAGTCAGATGACTTCAAAACCTGAAATCCAACTGGTGGTGTAGAGCCTCTTCCAACTTTAATATCCTTGTATTGCAAACCTGACTCCGTAGTTATCATAGGCACCTTCATGGCATACAAAATTCAAAACGGCCTCAGTCATTAGCTATGGAAATTAAACTACAAGTAAAAGTCATTCCCCCATCACACTGGGAAGCTCTTGAGTTTACCTAGCTTATCACTCCAGTGCTTATTACAAGTCATTTATAATTCATTCCCACATACTAAGAAATACATTAAATTGATAAAAATTTCTAAATTTATCCCTATTAAAATTTTCTCTCTCTCTACATTTACAAATAATTTTCGCCTCTCTCTCCTCTCTCTCTCTTTCTAATAAGAATTAAGTAATGATAAAATTAAAAAGCGATCATTAAATACCCCACAAATGACGTAAGGATAAAAAGATTCTCCCTACAAGTGAGTTGTAATAAGCACCAAGTGGTACATCTTTACTCTGATAGGATTGATTAATAATTTCATAAAACAACAGATTGCTGATATATGCCACGCATATATCAGACATATAATAACTTGCAGCAGATTTTATATCTAGCAAAGCATAGAGTTTCTCCATTAACCCAACTAATCAAGTTATGATATCACTTGAAGCTACTGACGTGAAGGTCCCTGCTAATTTCTATTAGAATTATATGTTCTATCCTGGAGAAACATTATGAGCATTGATTACACACTACGCCAGATCATTAATTCTTATAATTCGTGACGATTCTCACCTTCGCGCAAAGCAAGTACTAGGTATAGGTTTCTTACAAATATTGAAATTGGTGGCCAATAGGAAGGGAAGGCTTGGAGACTCAATGGCTGTTTGATGGATACCAGTTTGTCAAACCAGAAGAGAAGGAACATTCAAATATCTGAACATTTCTTAAGGTAGGCAAATTCAATAGACCAAAAACACCTTTTTCATTACAGCGTTTTCAAATTCCCAAGACTATATTGAAGTCCCCCCCCCCCCCCCGGTTCCTCGCAAGGGCTTTGCCTCTGACAAGTTTTCATCCTGAAGATTGAAAACATTCTTAGAAATGTACAGTGACTACAGGTGATGTTTTAACAGAAAGAGACAAGGAGACATAGCAGTCAAGGATACTATGTAATCTCACCATACATTTTCAAGCTCTTTCTCACAGGTATCATCACAGAGCCTTGGCTTTTCCTCTGGGGGCAAACCAGCTCCTTTGGCAGGAAATGAAGTCATGAAGAGGCCTGGGGCTCCGAAAGCTAACCCGAGAATGTCTCTACGCGTAATGTTGTTAAACATAGCTACGCATTCTCTTGTCCTCGGGGACTTGGTTTGAGAATCGCAGCTTGAGTAATGCACAGCCAGACATCGAACTTTGTCATCAGGAACGACTTGGGGAGCGTAGGACGGGCTTCTACCCGAAGCAGAACCTACCAACGTGCACAGATTTCGAGATTGAGCTAAAAAGGAAGAGGCGAGACGAAGCTTCTTGACATGAATTATGAACATATTTCAAAGGGAATGCAGCAATATGGGCAACGGGGGAAGCAAAATCACAAGAAACAGAGAAATAGGGCCGCTACTTACCAAGTGAAAGGAGCAGAGATGAAGGGCAGGAAGCCATGCTCAAGCTTCGGAGCGCGGATAACGAAATCTCCTTCATCACAAATAAAAGCTGCTGACCTGGCTTTTCTGCTGAATTCTAATTTCATATTTGCCCTGGCAGAGGCATTTGGTGTTATTGCGTCGGAAATGACTTTTCCCTACTAGATTGTGGGAAGCCAATGATAATATTTTCCCCCGGTTACAACTATTTACTTGCATTAAAAAATAGTACTACCTCTGATTTTTAATATAGAATTTTGTTTGATTTTTATTTTAGTCCTAAATATAAAATATCAATATATTTTATCTCTAATATTTATTTTTTTTCCTTCAAAATAGTCCTTCTAACAATAGTAGTTCTAGTCAATACATTTGATTAACAAGGATATTTTAGGAAATACAATACTTATTTATGACAAATAACTAACTTAATTTCTTTTCTTAATCTTCTTAAATTAGTTAATTAGCTCTTATAATCAGGACTGGAGGTACTATCAATTGGTAATGTAAACTCATGGTAGAACTGTTCAGCTTTCTTACATAAATATTGCTTCAGGCCATGTGAATAAATTCAGATATCCTTAAAACGCAGTGATTTTTCTTTTCTTTTCTTTTTTTGCCAACATAGGGATCTTTTCTTGTAGTTAAGCTAACTTGCAAGTCAAAAGATAAAATCCGATGGAAAGTTTAAAAAATTGAAAGTGCGTTCGTTCATCTAATAATTCTGTACTAAAAACCCATGATTTGTTGAGCTTTCCTATCAGTTCTTTTATATTTTATTTTATTTTGTCACAGATCCATTTGTCTCAACTTCTCTAATCAAACAATACTACTAGTATTTAAAAAAAACACTACGTTTTTTAAAAAGTAAAAAAAAATCATAAAAAATAAATTTATTATTATATTAAGAAAGTACATGAACATTCTTTTTAAAACAATTAGACGAGATGAATAGGAGAATGTTGATGTAAATGGGAAAATATTGTAAACTCTGAAAATTAGTAAATAATAATTATTTTTCTTATTAAAATAAAATATAAGATAATTTATATTTTTCAAAAAATTATAAACAATAAATTAATTTTCGTAAATTTTTTATACCGTATAAAAATTATTTTTTAAAGATAAACAAAACTGACCCTGAGGCCGAGTCCTGTTAATTTGAGATTTTTTTGTTGTTACAAGTAAAGTTTAAATGATTTGGATATTGAAGGCTTATCAAAATCAGGACATGCCTTTAAGTTTAGAAAGCTTTTACAGATATACTTATACTCCTCCGGTCCTAATTATAAGACCCAATTGATTTATTTGAGGAAATTAAGGAAGTAAGTTAAGTTGGTTATTTATAATAAATAAGTATTGTTATTCCTAAAATATCCTTGCTAATTAAGTATATTGGCTAAAACTATCATTATTAGAAGGATTATCTTGGAAAAAAATACATAAATATAAGAGAGAAAATGGATTGGGTCTTATAATTAGGACCAAATAAAAAGTCAAATTGGGTCTTATAATAAGGACCGGAAGAATAGATCACTTATCAATATAATCCTTATATTAGCAGTGGGATTCAAACTCACAAGTTATGAACCTAATCCTTAGACCAATTCTGATGGCATGAGTACTGTTCTGTTGACGGCTGACATCAAAATTTTAACCAAAAAAGCCGAGCTGGATTTCTTAGCCCTGAAGAGTCCAGTCCGGCCCATTTCCCTCGGGTGGAAGAGATATTGCACAAGGCCACTAGTAACCATTGGGCAGAAGCACTGATCCCAAATTTCCGAAACTTTCCAATCCTATCTGCAAAAATTGCTTTTTATTTTCAAGTTCTGCGCATCTTGAGCTGATTTCGATCAGATATGGCAACGAAGCTGCAGATGTTTACTGGAGTACCATTGGCATCAACACCTCCAACGTCGTTGTTTCAAGTTTGTTCTTCAAGCTCCAATAGTCTCTACGTGCTCAGGAAACCTCTGACCACGTCGTTCTTCGGTGGCAGAGGTATGGCCTAGCCTAAATATGCTTTTACTCCTTAATTTTTGTCCAGGAGGTGCATTCCTGGTCTAGAGTATGGGCTCATTAACTAAAAGTCGTTTTACATAATGGCGTTTTCAATTTTTTTCTCTTGCTAATATATTGTTCATTGATATGATCCCAATTCTCTGGCGTATCAGTTCTCATCATAAGCTTCCCCGGCAATGTGAGCACCATGGGCTTCTGTTGACTCACTTAAATCGTATATTATGTTTTTGTTTATTATATTGGAGCCGATTGATTATCGGTTATTTGTTTTAATATAAAAATATTGCGCTCTTCATCTGTGTGAATTGTGTTTCATTATGTTTTACTGCTGCTTTTCAAATAATTCCATAATTGTGAACATTAAACAATGTATGAGTGAGAGCAAGTTTGCAGCATTATTATGAAGTATAAGTGACGGGCATCAGTAATTTAAGTGTGAAATATTTATCACGTTGCCAGCAGTTAGGAATGGATCGCCCTTATGTGAGGCAGCAATTCAGTAGTAAGCACTTTATTTCCGTAGTTGGTGAAACTTTTTTATTTTGGGAGGGGGTTGGAGTTGGGAGGACTTGTACTTAAATTAATTTTTTCGTGCACTATTGATCACATAAACGTGTTAAACCTTAAGGTCTCAAGCAATTGAGTGTTTCCTGATGTCACCTGTTCTTATCTTTAAATTACATCTCCTATCAATTTTCTTCAAATGGATATCATGACTTGTGGATGAAAGTATGTTCCATTGAGCAAGTTAGTGTTGATGTTACTCTCTAAGAGAAGAAAAAGTTTTTTTAAAAAAAAAAAATTGAATTTTCTTGTACACACAGAAGCCAATTGATACTTGAGATATGTTAGTAAATAATATATTTGAAGAGTTAGTTGTTAATATAGCTCAATGACGTCACACAATGCACGTATCAATTGGCTTTTGACTGTTGTTGTAATAGAGAAGCCAAAAACATTACGTCTCCCCGTCTTTCCTTTTGTATATACAACTTCTGCCGGGATTTCAAATTTCCTTGATCAATGCTTGCAGTTGAATATCTGAAAGTTAAAGGGATAAGGATTGCTGGCCCCATCCAATCTTATTCTAGACAAGGTGGAGGTGCTCTTGGCACTCAAATGAACCTTTTTGATAGATTTGCCAGAGTTGTGAAGGTGAAATCACTGAAATAAATTTTTTTTTTTAAAAAAATATGCATAGTTTAGGTTGGCATTCTCATTATTATTTATCTAAGTGATGCAGTCATATGCAAATGCAATCATAAGTACTTTTGAAGATCCAGAGAAAATATTGGAGCAGACAGTTCTTGAAATGAATGATGACTTGACAAAAATGCGTCAAGCTACAGCACAGGTTAATTATTTTTTTGTTTGATTTGGGAGTTGAGACTTTTTCTTTTTGAAACTTTTATCTCTGCTGTTTTCTTTCCATGGTTATACATGAGTTATTGAAAACTACTTTGTTCTGCATGCTGACCCTTAGGTATAGATTGCTGGAGTAGCCTTCAAAGGCTACAAGCTTGCAATTTCTCAATCTATGCTGTAAACCCCCCCCCCCCCCAAAAAAACACAAACCTCACCAAAAAAAAATTGTTTTTGTTTTTCACTCCTGACCTTTTAGTCTGAGATCCTCTTCTTCTTCATAAGGTATTGGCATCTCAGAAGCGGTTGGAAAATAAATACAAAGCTGCACAACAAGCTTCTGAAGAGTGGTAATATACGGGGAAAAAATGGTTATTTTAGTTTTCTTACATTGTTTAGTGTATAGATACCAGTTTTATGCTTTGCATTGCCATAGGTACCGTAAAGCACAACTTGCTCTTCAGAAAGGCGATGAAGATCTTGCTCGTGAAGCTTTGAAAAGGCGGAAATCTTATGCTGTATGTTCTCATTTTCTTGAATGCTTTTGCTTTGGTATATTTCTAGATTTCCAACTTAAGGTTATCAAGTGGACCACTTAATTGTGTGGTATTTTAGTTAATCAGATATAGTTCTTGATTCTTGATTTCTTGCTCTCTTTTTTCACCTGATAGCTACATATGTGGATTCTTTGTTCTCCCTTCTTTGCTAATAATTACTGAAATATTTTATCAATGCATTTGTCACAGCTTCCATTTCTATGAGAGTCTCCTAAAGCTTAATGAAAACTCTACTCTGTGTTCCCAAGTGATTTGTCTTCATAACCAAATGTGTAGATTTATGATTTATCTGACCATTTTGGTTGCTTTTGGCAAGGCATTTCCCTTGTTCGTTATTGTGTTTGAAGAAGCTGAAGTAGTTTGGGACTATCAGATATGATAAATCTCACAATACTTAGCTTCTGCAAATTTCTCCAAATAGGCAGTTCAATATATGTCAGACGTTGCTTATATATGAATGCTGATGATAGTGTTGACCTCTTGCTGATTACTGAAAAATTGGAATTATCTGCAATTCCACCATTTAGTTTACTGATTAAAGAAATTATAGCTGCAATAGTTATAACGTATATGGATACCTTATCATGCACGTCACATGATAGGCCGTCTGAACTTGATCCTCTTCCTTTAAAATGTTGCAGGATAATGCTAATGCTTTGAAACTTCAACTTGATCAACAAAAGGGTGTTGTTGACAACCTTGTCTCTAATACACGGGTGAGTTAAATTGTACCTAGGGAATTGTAAGGCTGTGTTTGGGTGACACCCCAAACCATGGTTTGGAGACCCAAACCATGGTTTGGGGAATAAATCACCCAAACACCCACCCAAAAACCAAAATCATGGTTTTGGAAAAAGCAAAAAATTTTTGCTTTTGGAGAAAAAATGGAGAGTGTGAGAGCCTATAAGATATATATCTTGTTATTTTTTTTTATAAACATATTTAATCTTATATTTTATAATATATATACATATTAATTATTTATTAATTATATTATCTTATGTATTATTAATTATGTTAATAAAAAATATATTATTAACAATTTTATTTCTTCAAATTAAAATATATCATAAAATCTATTTTTTCTGTAATTATCATATTAACTTATATCTTTTTTTTAGTAATTTGTATATATAAAAAGTGCTTCTGATAACAACTATCCAAACACTCTCACTTCTCAAAATCACTTTTTCATAAAATCTATTCTTTCCAGAATCTATTCTCCAGAATCACTTTTCTAAACCACGGTTTGGTTTCATCCAAACACACCCTAAAGCTAGTGTGTATAATTGAATATTGCCATCTAAAATTGAGATCCAAAGTAGCCCGCCTTTCAGTCAGAAAATCAGTGGAAGTTTGCAATTTTTTTAGGAGTGATTGCAGTTGGTTAGAGAGTCTGTCTAGGCAATTTGAGTTGAATATTATATGCAACCGTTATATCTATATGCATACTTATGCTTTCCTATTTATTCATTGATGTTATGTTCTATGAATTTCATATTTTGTAGCTTTTGGAGAGTAAGATACAGGAGGCAAGGTCTAAGAAGGATACTTTGAAAGCCAGAGCTCAATCTGCAAAGTTCGTCTTTGGCACCATTTTCTCATTGACATCCTTCATCTCTTGATTTTTTTGTACTTTGGTTCTTCTAATTATGGCTGTCTGTTGATGTTCCTTTAGGACGTCAACTAAAGTGAATGAGATGCTGGGAAATGTCAATACAAGTAGTGCTCTATCAGCTTTTGAAAAGATGGAAGAAAAAGGTAAGAAAATTTTAATCTGAATTGCTTTTTGGCTATTGGGAATTGGGATACGTGGATAATATTTGGTTGGGTAGGAGGGCATGGCATCTAGAAATTTCAAATGGTTTAAGAGTTCAAAGGGGAAAAGGGAAGAAAAAGGAAAAAAAAATCTTGACAAAGGCTATGTAGTAGTATATTCAAGAGATATCCCGAGGCTTGAATTTGTACCTCATAATTTATCGACAAAATGACCTTATGCTTGGACATTGTAAATATATAACCAGGTGTAATTGCAGTAGAAGTAAAACTCTGATAATAATTCTACCAAAAAATGAAAAATATGAGCACTTTAATAGCAAGGAAAACTATGGCCTAAAATGTGCGTAGAATATGTATATGGCCAAATAAAAAGAATAATTCATAAAAGCCAATTCTGGACCTTCACTTGACGGCTCAAACTTTGCATCATTGCATTTGAAATTTTTTAGGTTCTCATATTTATTATTCGCTGTTATCCTGGTAGTGTTGGCAATGGAATCGGAAGCTGAAGCTCTTGGCCAGTTGACAAGTGATGATCTTGAAGGAAAGGTAGTGAACGTTGTATACCTTTATTTTCTATTCAACAGGAATGCAGTTTCCTTGACTATTTACCAACCAGCGCATAAATGTAGATAACACTTCTTAAGGAGCTATTTAGGACAGAATGAAGAGCTGAACTCAAGCGATCATGATGAAATGTCTTTATACTATTGTCTTTTGATTTAGGAAATAAGAATTCATACGGCTCAGTACAATAAAAGTCACAAGAATAAAACTTTTCCCAAAATTTAAATTGGTGGCTAGGCGAATCCTTTGTCCTTCAGTGGATATTTTCCATATCTGTCTGTCCTGGAGTATATCATGTCGTTAATTTTTTTTTTTTAATGGATGAAAATAGGCCAGTTTAGAGTTGCCACGGCTGAAATTGCTTTTTGGAATTTATGGATTTCTGTTTTTTTGCTGGTTTTGCGCAGTTTGCATTGTTAGAGAGCTCGTCAGTTGATGATGATCTTGCAAATTTGAAGAAAGAACTATCTGGTAGCTCAAAGGTACAACTCAAAACTTAGCTTCTAAACCCGGTCAAGGAATACAATCTGGATCTAAAAACATAATGCTCATAGTGCATTGAGGGAGAGAGAAATGAAAGATATGATCAGTGCACAGAGGGAATGTGCGTCCTTTGTTATATATACCTGGTATCATTCTCTCCCAGTTGATTGATGTAGAAGAGTCAAAGGCAGGATGAAAGTGGGTAACCTATGAAAAAAGGCATTGCTATTTAAAAAAAAAAAAAAAGATATCGTGCTGCTGTATTTGAAGAAAGTGGGTATCATTCTCTCCCTTCTTTTTCCCATTTTCTCAAGAAAGGGGGAAAACTTCGGGGGAGAGAAGTTGCCAGAGTTTCTTTGTCCGACGTCCTAGATGTCCTTTTGATGTTGCCTCTACTTGTTTCATGTTTGTTTCGAGCAGAAAGGAGAGCTTCCCCCCGGAAGAAGTGTTAGTACTAGCACAAACACTGGAATCCCATTTCGAGATGCTGAGATTGAAAGGGAACTTGATCAATTAAGGAGAAGGGCAAAGGATTTCTGAAGCTTGAAATACTACATTTCTTAAAATTTCGTATAGGCATTTGACCATTTGTTATCTTGTCTCAGATCAACACTGTACAGCTCAGGCCAATCTTAGCAATGTTTTATGACGTGGCTAAAAATTAAGTGGGCGAATCAATTGACTGGCTGCATGCTTGTGGAGCTCATATAACATTGAAAGTCCATCAGTGCGATATAAGTGTAGCGCTAATTTATGTAAAGACCTGTAGCATTGGTTTTGGAAGAAATGCATAAGCGGAGTAGCATATTCTTCGACCTTACAGAATTTTTTCATCGGTGCCGAGGACCGTTTTTCATATGGTTTTTCTGAGGTGGTACCTAGCATCATGGCCACCCAGGCTGGTTTTGATTGCATTACTCACAAGGATTTCCGATATTTTTACCAAGAGGTAAAATAATATTCTTCTGATCTTTAATATAAGACTTAATTGTTAAATTGATTTTAGTCTTAAATATAAGATATATTTTTTTATTATCATTTTTTTTTAAATTATCCCTGTTGAAAAGAGAGATAGGGATATAAAGGAAGATGATTATGATGTTTTGGAAAAAACATGTCATATTCTTATAATTAACTAAAAATGTTATATTCTTATAATTAACTAACTTACTTAATTTTATTAATTTAATTAAATAAGTTTTATATTAAGAACCAGTCTACAATTCAAATTTGAATTTTGCTTAATAAAATGCAAGTAGTAGTTTTTCACTTTTTAAGAAATGCTATCACTGTATCTTTAACCCCCGCACGTACAGGTACACGGTGCATTATGGGTTAAACTCCAGATATAAACTGCTTGAATCTTTATTGCCGAATGTATCGTTATGTCTTGACTTGCGATTAAGTTATATATTTTATGACGAATTCCTCCTATAGAAGATTCAATGACCAAGTCAGTAGTAAGCATCCAAATTGAATTTTCTCGCCCTCTACCTCCACAAAGCATAATCCGCCCCGTGCATACTGCTGTTGGTATTGGTCAGGCTCAAAAATAATCAAATTCCTTGTTCGAATTTTGCTAAAACTCTTTCGGTCAATACCAATTACATCTTTCTACGCCTGTCTCCAATTTCTAAACATTTTTTTATGCAACGACTAATAAAAGGAAATAGTCAGCAGCAGAGTTGTAGTCTAACAACGATATTAAATTCTAGCATTCAATAAAATTATGCCAATTACTTTAGAGGAAAGTAAACAGTAGCATATCTTCTTGATTTGTTTTCTTTTATCAATCCCTCAAATTGGATCAATATCATTCATATAAAATAAATATACAACAAATCATATCAAAAATTATGAATAGCACGGTTCATTTCTCAAATTTAAATAATACATGAAATATATACTCCTCCGGTCCTAATTATAAGACCCAATTGACTTATTTGAGGAGATTAAAAAAGTAAGTTAAGTTGGTTATTTATAATAAATAAGTGGTCATTCCTAAAATATCCTTGCTAATTAAGTATATTGGCTAAAACTATCATTATTAGAAGGATTATCTTGGAAAAAAATGCATAAATATAAGAGACAAAATGGATTGGGGTCTTATAATTAGGACCAAATAAAAAGTCAAATGGAGTCTTATAATAAGGACTGGAGGAGTATTTAGTAAGATATTATGATATTTCTTTGCAAATTAGAACAAGACTTACTATTTATATTTAAACATATATATATAGATGAAATTCAAAGTGGTTGATAATCCTTCCTTGTTTCAGTTTTTTTTTTTTTGGGGGGGTTGTTTTGCCTTGGTCCCTTATTTTCCACAAACTGACTAGGCTTTCAGAGGATAGAATCGTGAGAAAGAACAAAAACAAGCGAAGAAGTGGAGTGGTTGGAACACAGAAGCAGTATTAAAGGGCATTTCATGAGGGAGCACGCAAGTAGGAAAAAAGGCAAATGGTAGGTAGGAGCTGTTAGCGCTTGCAAACCTGTGCGGCAAAGTCAATTCAAATTCAAATACAAGTACAAGAAAGTATTAATAAGAGAGTAAAATTCAACATTGCCAACCTCAGAAAAACCATTCGAGGGAACTTAGTCAGCATTTGTAGCATCATGAGCATGCACAATGCGGGAGCCAGGAGGGCACATTGGTAAAAGCGATGGGCGTTGACAAATTCAAAGAGAAGTTGAGGAGGCAAAGCAAGGGCAGCTTCCCCAGAGTGCTTGGTCAACACGTAAACTCTGCAACGCCGCTATAAATAGAAGCCCACCTGTTTGGTGGGTGATCAAGGAGAGAGCAACATGAGTCTGAGAAAAGCCTGCGCGGTGGTGATGATGGTGGTTATGTTGTGGATAGCCACGGTGAGTGTGAGTGAGGGAAGCAGGGTTCTGAGGGCAGATTTTGCCGGCGGGAGTCATCTCCGGACATACGCGGAGGCCAACGCCAGCCTGCGGCTTTGGCTCATGCGCTTGGCTTCCGGACCAAGTCCTAAAGGCCCTGGACACTGATCCCCGGCCAGGCCCCACCACATTCCTCCCTCTATACAATTCAATTCAACAACACAGTGGTAGCTAGCCAGCTAGATCGCCCAAATATTCATGTCTTCCCATTGAAATAAGATTCTTTCATTTGTGCTGCTTCTGAGCCCCCTCTCTTCACTTTTTTTAATTCCTGCTCAAGCGAGACAACAACAGAATCCTTTTCTCACTCACGGACAAGAAATCAAGCATCACAATTACGTCCTCTTTATGTCAATATATATTATTTAATGATTAAATTAAATATTAAATGTAATGCAATATATTGTTTATTTCACTTATGGAGTACCTCTGCCACAGTTATCATTAGATGATCTTCACCGGCCTCATGTAGATTTTCATATTAACTAGTTATCGAAAAAGAAAAGGCAGTGAAGCCCAAGTTCTCATCTTTAATCTGTCAGGCGTTTTCAGCTGATAGCTGTTTTTTTAAGGGGAAAAAAATCCAACGGTAAGTTACAAATTGAGAGATACCAAACTCTGAAAATAAAAGGGAAACAACTACTGTGAAGATCTCCACTCAAGCGACCAGTATAGCCGGGAAAGGGCGGGTGGAGCTGCAATATCCGTATTGCTTCGGTCATATGACCAGCGTCCATAGCTGCTATAAGTGGGGAGCTTAATTTTCAGATCGTTAGTATCCATCCTTTAATTAAAAGGGCCAAAAAAAAAAAAAAGGGAGCTGCACACTGAATGGATTCTTGTGTAGCGTACCGAAGTTCCATATCCCAGTCCCAAAAGATTATGGTTGGGATCTTCTTTCATTGATCTCTGAACGCCTCATTAATTCTTGCTAAATTTGCAACTTCCCCGAGTTAGGCTATCATTCTCGAAAGACGAGCTTCTCACGAAACTATAACAATGAGAATTTGTTTATTAGTCAAATAGTCATTAGAATCTTGAGTTCATTCTCTCGTTGACTGGTTATAATTAAGAAATATAGAGGATATAAACATACAGAAACAGAGGACGACGCTGCCTTTTACTACTTCCTGTTATAAATATAAGAACTAGTTGACTAATTTGAATAAATTAAAAAAAATTAAATTAATTATTTGTAATAAATAAATGTTGTCTTTCCTAAAATATCTTTGTTAATCAAGTGTACTGGTTAGAGCCACCATTATTAGAAGGACTACCTTAAAAAAAAAACATAAATATGAGAGACAAAGTAGATTAGGGTTTTATATTTAGGATCAAAATAAAAGTCAAACAAAGTTTTATATTAAAGACTGAAAGTAGTAATATTTTTTCAATTCTCCTTATCCTTCTCTCGTTGACAACGCTTAAAATATAAAGAGCAGAGAGAGCGAGAGAGAGTTGAGGGGGACGACGTAACAAAGTAGACGCCTTTTTTGCGTTTTTGAATGGAAAGGGATGTACAAGCTCCAGTTCTTACTATAACAATTAATTAAAAATTACACTTAGTTTTAAATATAAATTTGTAATTTATTTTATCTTTTAAATTTATAATTTATTTTTTAAGGCACTGTTATTATTGATTACATGTATTAAGGGGGTTTTCATTTAACAGTAGTCATAATTAAAAGAATATATTTTAGAGAAATCAATAAATAACTAATTTAATTAACCTATTTAATATATCCAAATTACTTAAATAATTTTTATATTAAGCCCCGTAGGTGTTAACAAATAGTTACAAAAGATTACAAGGCACCGCGTGCCATCAAGCTTCAGTGCGGATGGTCTCCAAAAAGGCACGAGCTTTGATGGTGTGGTTAATAATAGCACAAACTGAAATCATGGGATTATCCGGAGATAAAAGACTCATTGGTAAAGATACTTTTTTTTTTGTTGCCCAGAGTATCCTCTCACCTGAACGGTCGGCGTACTATCAGGTGTCGTAGCGGGGACCTCTTCCAACAGTGTTTTTTCCATACACACCACCCCAAGAATCAAACCCAAAACATAATGTTTAAGAGATCCAAGTCCCTTCCACTTGGACCAACACTTGTTGGTTGGTAAAGATACATTTGTTGCTATTATCCTAGCGTTTTCAAATAAGAGTCCCAAAAAGTGGTCTGGGTAGTGGAATGGCAAGGATTGAGGTTCGAAAAGAGCCAGACCCTGGGGGAGAGGTTTGCGGTACACCCATTGGATCCAAAGTGGGTGAGTTTTTGGTACAAAGTGGGTCAAATTTTGGCATACCATTGTGAAGTCCAACTAATTTGGGCCCCTTTGTTGGGCCCAGAGCGCGCCTACAATCCGAACTGTACCCGTTGCGGTTGTTCGGTTGTGCCCTTTTCCAAAATCGTTTTTGTTTCATGCAGTCCCAAAGAAAGTATTGGAACCACCTTCCATGATCACCCAACCAACGGGGCTGGGTTCCCTTTTTTTTTTTTTTGTGGTTTGTTTTACTGACAATGATAATGTTCTTTGCCAATCGTCGCGACGGCGTCGTGGCTTCGGGTGATCGGTGGTTAGCCAGCAAGGCACCTGATCAATATTCACCTTATCCTTTTCGATTCATGACGTAAAGTAATTTTTGTTCAATTCCGGATCTCCGTAAAGCCAGCTCGAAAGGGTGCCGCAGTGTTTTGAGTGAGGTGGTTTGTTTTCTCGGCAACTCGAAACCTTCATATAACGAAAAGCTTAATCACGCGAAGCCAATTAATATGTGGGGCGCTGATACAAGAGTTATTGGTGGAGGATGAAAGAGGGAACACATGGCACTGTAACACTGTTAAATTCATACAATGCTAAACAGTACACGTCGCAATTAATTAACGCATTCTAAGTTCTAACTTATTGGTGGAGAATTAGAAGCTGCAGGTGCGCCCTTCCCTTCTCACTTATTCTATGAAGCAGAGGATGGATGGATGTGTTGATAGTGTGTCTAGCAGGTAAGATTATCTCCGGGAGCAACACCCAGCTGAGAACAGTACTGGGTGTAGTAACCAACACGAGCCTGAACAGTGTCGGGGTTCTTGCCGTCACATTCGAGCTGGCCGTTGATGGCTCTGATGGTGGCGCCGAACCCTTGGTTCAGCACAGGGCGCACATGCTGCATCCAGTACCAGAGCGCCGTCTTGAAGGACACCACCGCATCATTCGCCACCGTTTCCGGCGCGTTCAGCCCGTCGAACCCGTTGCTCTCTCCCGCGGGGCCGTAGTTGAAGTTCCACGACAGTTGAATGGGTCCGCGACCGTAGTATCCTTTGTTGGGGGCGCATGGGTACTGTGTGTTGGTTTCGTCACAGTAATCCTTAGATGCACCGTCTATCTCTTCTATGTAGCAGAAATCTGCACGTTCATTATCGTGTTAGTTCATATATAAGCTCCTGTAATCATATTATCATTATCATCGATATAACAAACCGACTCACTCACGTCCAGTTTCGTGGGTGAAATGGGCAAAAGCCGCGGCAATCTCGCGTTTGGAGTCATCGGCGGAAGCGAGGTTGCCGAACTGTGAGTAGGATTTGAGGGCGTCGAGGAAGGAGGCTCGGGTGTAGAAGTTCTTGCCGGCACAGCTTGCGTCGGCCTGGTCAATGATGGAATTGAAGAACTCGGGCGTGACGATATCGGCGACGGAGCCTTGGGAGTTTCCTCCGGTCTGAGAGGCATAACAAGGGCCCTCCTTGCAGCCGGTGCCGCAGTATTGATCTCCGGTTCCACAATACCCATACTGGCTGCAGCACAATCCCGCCGCACACCCACAATTCTGAGCGCTCGCCGCCGCAACTAATATGCTTGCGACCGCCGCTACGATGATCAGCTTCATCATTTTCAACTCTAAATTATGCTGTATGATGTGAGATGTGATCTTCATGATCCTACCTTGGTTTGTATATATAGATATTTGTCAACTTGGCAGTCATTCTAGAAGGTGTGTTTCCTTATCAATTTCGGATGGAGAATTCCTCCCCGGCTTTAGTGCTGTTTGACTTTTAAACACGTCAACGCCCAAGCATAATTGCATACAGGTAAACCTCCTCTTGCTTCCGAGCTTAAATCTGAATTTATCCTCTTGTTAATCACTAGTGCCTTATATAAATATATATATATGTAGTTACTGCCTATTATTATTTAAAATTTTAAATCATCAATGAAACTAGTGGATAGCCAAAGGAAACAGGCTTCAAATATTACACACACACAGACATATGTGTGTGTATATATCGATCCGTTCGTATTTAGGGTCTTCCACCACTTGCACGCATCTCCTCACATCAAGTTAGTGGCTACGATTTGGATTCGGATGCTTGATATAACAATCCCTCCGTTCAAAATTTGTTTGCTCAAGTTTATTGCAGTGAAATTAAGAATATTTTAATTAATGTTGCGCCGACCGTACATTATTTAAAATATCATCACTTAACGCTCCAAATCAAGAGTGAAATGTCAAATATAATCATCATTATAATATTATATAGCTCTTCTTTTTTAAGTGGGTGCATTTTTTTATTGAAGACATTTCATTTAAAAACATAGTGGATATTAAATGTTAGTATTTTTTTAACAGAAATTTAAATATTAATTCGTTACGAATTTTTAGTGCGAGTCTATGCTTATATTATATTGGTAGTAGGGATGGCAGACCCGAAGAAATTTATAGGAAAAGATAATTAAAAATTAAACCATAAGGGGGGGGGGTAATAATGAGGATTGAAGGGGGTTGAAGAATTGCGAGTGACGGGACATACACGATGTTGTGGTCAACCCAATGAAATGGTCAGTGGCAATTATGCCGGTAAAGATTCCCAGATCCCAAGTCACATCACAAAAACGTGTTGAACAGTGAATCACCGTCATTGCAAGGGTGCGTTTCGAAGACCACAGAGCCGCTTTTTAAGACCACCGCTGAATAGTACGTCCTAAGACTTATTTAATTAGCTTAATTATATTAAAAAATCTAGATAAATTATTTAATTATAAAAAATATGAAATATTTTTTCTAAAACAAACCTTATGATCATATTTTTTAATATGCCCCCTCTCTCTCCTATCTGATTATAATTTGAAGGAGTATTAATAAAAATAGTTTAAAAAAATTGATAAATATAAAAAATAAAACTTATATTTAGAACTAAAATGAATTTAATAATTATGTTTTACGTTCAAAACAGGAAAATTAAATAAGAATAATTATTACAAATTTTCAAAGTCAATTTTTAAACCATATATATAGTTTGCTGAAAAGAGGTGAAGAGATGAAAAATTCATTATTTAACGTAAGAATAAAAGGAGCAAGGATACATTGTGAAGAGGATCGGAATGAGGATGTGAAATCTCTATGACAAATCTATCCACATATCCCAGCCTAACCGGTTGGGTGGGAAGGAACAGCTATGCCCGCGTCAAATTAGCCACGAAATCAGAATCAGTGCATTTGATGTTCCCTTTCAATATCACCCGTGATGGTTTTTTTTTCTAAATATCTTCAAGGCCATTCATAACTTCGGCTATTAGTCAATAATTGATTTTGTCAAGACAATGCAGGTATTTTGTTTTACTCAGCCATGCATCGTATCGTATTTTACAAGACAGCAGGGATCCTTGGTTTTCCTTATTATCATGTTCGTGATCGTATTTGATGTTAACAGCATTAGTCAGTGGGTAATTGATACACATAATTTGAATTTGAATTTCATAAACATATTAAATTTTAATTCCGTATGTCAAATCACGTGACTTACAATATAGATAATTTACTAGGATTTGTTTGGTATGAGAAGAATAAAGAAAAACCAGAAGGAAAGAAAAAGAAAAGTTTTAATGAGCTTAATTTAAGAAAAAAAAAAAGGGGTTATAAAAGCATAGGATTAGTGTGTTTTGGTGGCAAGAGGACGTTTTCAAACATCATCAGGTCAACCATGTTAGGCAAGGATGCACGGGAGTATTTGTTATGCCTGAAGAATTTTTTTAAGCCATTTATTTTACTATCTTCGGTCCTTAATATAAGAGCTTATGGTATATATGTGTTTTTTTTCCCATAAAATACTTTTACTAATCATGTGTTATTTAATAAAATATTTACCATGTTAACTATTACAAGGACCATCTTAAAAAAAATAGATAAATATAAGAGACAAAATAAATTGAGGTCTTATATTTAAAATCAAATTAAAAATAAAACCACTTCTTATTTAAAATAAGCCATTTATTTTACTATTTCCATTTCTCAATATAAAAGCTGTGATAAATAGGTACTTTTTTTCATAAAATACACTTACTAATCATGTATCATTTGATTAAATATTTAATATGTCAACTACTATAAAGATTATTTAAAAAAAATAGATAAATATGAGAAATAAAATGAATTGTGGTCTTATATTTATAATTAAATTAAAAGTCAAACTACTCCTATTTTAAGGATAAGAGATAGTATCTGTTATACAACATATTTTCTTGATTTGTTTAGGTCATTCATGAGAGCAATTTTCCTCCCTCTTCATTAGAAAGTTGCTTGGCCGTGTGTTAAATAATTCACAATTTCACATATATCAGTCATGTCTTTATTTGGAAGATACCCCCCCCCCCCCCAAAAAAAAATCTCCCTCCCATTGTACGCCTAGATAATTTTTTCCCTGACTTCGTCACAGAACATATTTTCATAATTTATTTAGACAGCACAAGCAGCATTTCTCCTTTTCGTAGTGTATAGAAATTATTCGTAATTTTAGGCCCTAAATTTATACAAAACTTGGAATTAATGCATTTTTGTTATGAATGTAATATCTTTATGGATGTCTATGTATCTATCATTATCTCTCTTATCTCTAAATATTTTTAATATTTCCCATTATCCCCATTATCTGTAATTATCTTTTATTATTATATCCGTAGATTCTATCAAAGATGTAAATCTGTGTCTATAAATAGAAATAATGTATAATGTATTCAGCACCATTGAATGGAATGAGAAATACTCTCTCTGATGTTTTTTTCTTCTCTATTCTTCTCATTTATTTATAACAATTTCCTATTTTCTTTTAGTAACCTTGATAAAGCTCTTTTTTCTTTTTTCAGCCGATATTTCTCCGTAACGTTTCCGCAGCTGATCATCTACACCTGCCGCGCGCCATCAACCACCGAACGACGCCGTTGGGATATGGATAAACCGAAAAGGAGTCGTGGCCTCCAATTCCATGGCGACACTGACGATGACGACGGCGCTTGCCTCCCTCACAACTTCCCATGTAACAATTTCTCTCAATTGCCTTCGACTGAATTTTTTTTTTTTTAACCCGCTTCATTTTCACTCAATGTGCTTCTGCTCTTTCAATTCTACAGTGCTTCCCCATTAGAAGAAGCTGTTGCAGTGACGTTATTGCGAGTCCAAATGGCAGAGGCATCTATTTTCACAACATGCAGTATGGTCCGTGTGGAAGGTTATTTGATTCTTACCGTAGCTCTAGTGGTAGCCCCTTTTATTTTAGCAGAGAATTCGGCTTCTTGTAATTTGTATCTTCTTTCCAGCTTCAAACTCTCTAATCTTCGTTGGGTGACTCTCCGAAGCTTTAATACCGCCATTTTGGCTCTTCATTCAGGTACCTACACCATCCACATCACGCCGCTGCCAAATACGCATTTCGCTTTATTATGATATTACGCTCTTCCTTGTTCCTTTTAATCCCATTGATATTCTGCACCCCACCTTGTCTGTTTTGTTGTAGGTTTGGAAGCATCAATTACAGATTCAAATGAAAATGCGGCAATCTTAAAAAACGCCGAAATCGTTGTAGAATCTGAAGATGGAAATAAATTACAAGTGAGCATGCAAAAATTGATTTACGCTAAACTTTCACGATTTTAAAATGTTTCACTGTGATTTTTTTCCCAAATCGTTTATTCATTTACTTCGATGCTCCACTACTTTCATAATAAGCCAACTGGTGAAATTTTCTCGTCTGTTTTTTCCCCGTCTACCTACTGAACTGTCGGTGCGCTCTCCATCTACGATAAGTGGGATGTGATCTTTGCTAGAGAGAACATATTATATTGGATTATTGTGATTCCTAAGCTGAGGAAAATTCCTAATGAAAATTGGCAGTTCCTATGGTCCAGGTATCTGATAAACTTGAATTTAGGTAAAATTTCAGTCGTCGAGCACCTATGAAGGTTATCAAAAAAGGTTGATAACCCAGGAAGAATCATGTGTATCTAGTCCTTGTATTTGGATTTTCAGCCGAGTCCTTCCTGTTAGTATTTTGTTTATTTACTACGTATTTTTCATGCTAGCCAGTCAAGATAGAAGCTATGGTTGCTGTACACGTCTGTATGCGATTAAAAATTATACGATCTGCAGCGTCAAATAATCACAATGCGGCTGCAATAGAATTCTGTTTTTAACCTTTGCCCTTTTGTTCGTCACAAATTAACCTTAGTGAAATGCATTGTAATACGTTATTTGCCCATGATGACATTCATGTATCCACATGCTTGTGACCCATTTTTGGGGTTAGTATTGTGATGGTATCTCAAGTAACTTATATAACTGGCAGCTAAGAGTGGAATTGACTGGAGATCAAACACAAAGGGTATTTAACCAGGTCCTTACAAATTTAGCTCGCACTGCCCCGCCAATTCCTGGATTTCGAAGACAAAAAGGAGGTAATCACTGAATTATGGATTGACATTGATATGCGATGGGCGTTTCTGTCAGTTGCTACATTTTTCTCTTCCGTCTCCAATGTATTTACATTCTGACTTTTGTTTTCCTTTTGGTCTCATCCACCCACTGGCGGAAATGCCCAGTATGTGATCATTAAGGCACACATTTCTGATAGGTTTCCTCGATCAAATGATTATTGATTTGCTTTGATTAATGTGATTTTTCACTTTGAACTTGTGACCCAATCCCCTTTTGTTCGTAATCTAGCGTTTCAGCAGTCTATAGTGTTCTTCTTGAATGCTTACTGAATTACATTGTGCATGTGATGTGGGAATTGCTTCAGGAAAAACATCCAAGGTGCGTTACACTTCCACTTTATATTAGAATAATTATTATTGTGGTGTCTATCGTGATATTTAATTTAAAATTACTTTCCTGTGTGGAGTTTATAGCATCTATATAAGTGTAAATATCGATCACTCAGATAATCAATTTTTTATATCAACCCTCGGTCCCAATTTGCCGAGCAATACTATCAATGAAGGTTTTGCGAATTGAAAAATTAATGCAATACAATCACAGAACAATCTGATATATGCTGTATTGTTCCAGTAGATTATTCATTTCGGCAATCCATGCAGGTTCCAGCCAGCTTTCTTCTGCAGATGCTTGGTGAAGAACGTGTTACAAAGTTTGTAATACAAGAAATACTCAATTCCACAATGGCTGATTATGTGAGAAAGGCAAGTGATTACTATTCCTCATATCGGAGTTTTAGTATAATTTTCTCTTACACTTTTGATGAATCGATCCTATGCCAGGAAAACCTAGATGTGAAGCACCAGAATGTAAGAACCATCGAGACGGCAGACGAACTTAAAAAGTCATTCACGCCAGGAAATGAATTTGGCTTCAGTGTTATAATTGAGCCTCAGAGTTCATAGAAGTCGTGACATGATTCCGTCTCACATGCCCTATACGATGAGGTATTTAATAGTGGTGCATTTCAATTGTGAGTACGATTGCAGACGGATTGCCCATAAAAAAGGCGTCACGTTCAAATGCAGGCGGCAAAAATCGTGCAACTGATGTGCCCAACGTTTTCTTGGATGCTCTAATGCAAATCCCGCCATGTTAATGGTGCTCATAGGAATTAGGTGGTGTCATTAGTGTTTTTTTTTTTATATAATTTTTTTTTTTGGTTCTCTTCAAACTCGAGATTGATGAATTGCTCAAATCTTGAATCTGGGGACTGATTATGTAGTGTATTAAAAGATACTGAACAAAAGAAAAGGTGGTCCTAACACGCACGGCAAGTCGGCAACGATACTAATTGTCTATAACTGAAACTTACAGAGGGTTCGTGTTCAAGTACTTTTGCTGTCGCTGCACTTACACTACACATTCTACATTATCAATCTGCCAATCGCATTTAGTGGGGCAAAATGCTAGAAGCTTCTGTTCTGTTCATAATACTTCTCTTAGCCAGGCCACGGTACAGAGGGTATAATTCAGGCAAAACAAACTTGACAAACAAAATGGAATCCTGCTTTACACTGGGGAATAGAAACAATTAGCATGTTGATCTCCACACCAGAAAACCTCATGGTGCGTTGCTTATATGTGCATGAACAAATAGACAGAGGTTAGCCCTCATGGTGTTGCAGAAATGGAATGTTGGAAAAATTCCTTCATAGTTAATGAATTTCACCTTGAATCCAACTTTCTCCACAAATGAAATGTTCTCCTGATGATAGGATCAGCTGAAAAGCCTTCGGCATAAGCGCTGATAGCTGTTAAAAGGCCCTTCAATCTATCGCCGTTGTCCTATATTCAAAATTTCAAACCAAAAAAATATTTACAATTTTATATAAATGAAACCTTGCACAATCAAGCATAAGAGAGTAGCAATACCATTTAATATTTATGTTTGACTTCGGAAACAATAAACGAACTTTGCACAAGACAACGTTACTGAATGAATTCTGGTCAAACATCCCTAAGCACTCTCAATCAAAGGTGCATCTAACCATTTTATTCTACCGGTATCCTTTTCCGAAAAAAAATTCAAATAATTATCTGCAAACATTTTACACTCCAAGTCCTTATGGCCCGTCCTCATCCATCTTTACCCCCATTTAATTGCATATTTGTACTGTCGGAGACATGAGTAAACTTGTGGGACCACACAACCAGAATTTGCATGCGGACTCAACAATATACAAGAAAACAAGCAACTTTGAGATTTTCTACAGTACCAGCACAAAGACGAAATTAAGGCACCAAAACTTGCAATCCGTATCACGAACTTGAAAGTTTATGTCGTTGGACTGACCAGAACACAGCAAAACCTTCCATAAATACATCTACTAAAACTTAATCTCTTGACATCATAAAGCACAAACCTCCGGTTTCTTAAATGAGAGATCACTTGTTGTAAATGGTACCATATAGAATGGAAGATCAGAACGAAGTAATGCCTGCACACATCTTATATAAGACAACTTGGTAGGTCACATGACAAAAATGTCAAGAAAAATGGGGGAAAGGAAAAAAGAACATCAGACTTGAAGAGCATACCAGTTCCTTGCTTAAGAGAGCCTGATCAGCATTTGCAATCAAGGCCTACCAGGAAAATTGCAAATTACATGAAATTTCAACGCATTGTCATGATACAGGAATAATTTGAAGGTGATTCGCTCATAATTAACAAAGTAAACCATCTATTATGAGCCATAAGTTGCAATTTATAAAATGTGAACCTATACACTCTACGACAATAACAACAAAAGCATTATCCCATTAAGTGGGGTCAACTTCATGAATCAAACAAAAGCATTGTGCTCTGCTCGAAACGAATTCTTTCATTAACTAGGAATATTCCTAGAGAATGGGCAATGAGTCTATTAGAAGGTCTTTCATTCTGTAACTTGTCTTTTGAATTCCAAATAAAAAGGGAAGAGACAGAGTCTTTACTTCTTAAGGAAATGTTTGGGAGTTTATGAAAGAATGAAATGGTAACCATTGGAATGATGAGTCATGAGTCATTAACAAGCAGAATAGTGCCACTACCACCTGCCAATTCCATTCCATCCTTGAACCTCAAATTCGAGGGATGTGAAAATTGGAGTTTTAGATGGAGGAAGGGGATAGTTATAGGACCCGGAACTGAGACCAGTAATTGGATTTTCTTTCCTAAGGGCAGGAGCGGTAGTTGAAGGAATGTTGCTTTGGCTTGAAGCTTTCACCGGCCTTGCCTTTTCTTTTTTATAAAAAGGTATTCTCGCATAAAGAAAGGGCTGCTTGGCCCAGAATTAGCCATTACTTGCCATTCCTCTCCATCCTTGAGAAAACCCTTCAAACAATGGAACAACCCACTTTGGCTATTCCGTTTCTTTCCTTGTTGCATCCATCCAAACACACCCTAAAAGAACAATGTTTGATGTCGAGACAACCACTAAAAGAATAAAACTAAATATTAATTGCATCAAGAATCCTTAATAATTGTATCACGTGTGAAGTTCCAGTGAAATCAGGTTATTGTGAAACATAATACTCCTTCGGTCCTTAATATAATATCTACTTGTTGAGTTGATTTTAGTCCTAAATATAAGACCTCTTTCTTATATTTATTAATTTTTCTTAAATTACCCCTATGTATACTTCTTCAACCATAATCAAGTAGAAGAGAGAAGGAGGATATTAAGGAAGATGATTATGGTATTTTAAGAAAAACATATCATATTTCTTATAATTAACTAACTTACCTAACTTCCTTAATCTAATCAAATTAGTTAAATAAGTCTTATATTAAGGACGGGAGGAGTATCATGTGTCCACAAAGGCATTATAATTAGTCGAGGATACCTCTTTAATGCGCCCCTCAGTTATTTGATCAACACATCCCAACAACCTCTCCAATGTACCTGTGCATGTAAATGATAAAATACAGCCACATGTATAAAACATAATCTCTCCCACATTATAAAGAAGGCACTTGCTTATGATTTTAGTCTCATGAATGAATCCTAAGGTTGCAAAGTGCTTTCCGAAGTACTAGATGCTTAATGAACCGAGGTGAACAAATACCAATGAAATAATGCATCTAAAATCATACTTTTCATGCTAATGGAAGTTTAGGTAGTCATGGGCGTATATTTCAACAATGTGGATGACTCATGCTGAAAACTCTTCGAGTGTTTCTCACAAGCTTGGTATCCTAATGCTTCCACTTGTAATCTTAGCAATTATATACTTTTGAAAGAGGAAAAAGACGTAAAGAACAAGGATCAGAAAAGTAATTAGTTAAAAAAAGGCAAAAAAATTGATGTATAATCCCTTTTCCCCGTTCTTAGTTTTCTGAGATGGTAACTTTGAGGATTATCAAGTGGAGGAAGCTTGGAGATAGTAAGAACCTTCAGAAAATTAAGGAAAAAACTCTTTCATTAGTTGAGTCTGCAGAAATTGGAGACCCACCATAGGGGTTAAATTTGACTTCTTGAGATGTGAGATGTCATGAAATACTTGAACAATATCTCAGATACAACTTTTTTCAGGAAATTTAACCCAAAGTGTCAATTCAACCTTTTAGAAAATCAAAGAAAGCTAAAGGCAGCCTAGCGGCATTGGTGCTCCCAGTGGGAGATCGCGGGTTCGATCCTACTTATAACCTCAGTGTGCCTGGCCCTTAAATTCCACATAATAATAATAATAATAATAATAATAATAATCAAAGAATGATTGGTCAAGACTTACCAAATTTACTGATCAATTTCGCTGCATGTATATCTCCAATTCCATCAACCCCTGCATTAGCAAATTGTGAAAGGACTAAACCAAGACTGTCTAAACTTGTAAAAACCCCTGAAAAATGATAGAGAGCTTATATAACTTGTTATTTCATTAGAATGGCAAGGACGATCAAATCTTCACATCCTCTTAGGATTCCTCCCTTGTCATTTGTCAAAAAAGAAGGCTAAGCTTGTAGCTTCAAATATTTAGGAAGGCCCAACTTGTATGAATTGGTTAAACAATTATTCTTCTCCTTTTCATCAAGTACAATCATCCAATGCATTTAATCAAGGGGATTCTGTGAAAGTGAATAAGACACCTGGGCAATGTTGATACTAAAATGATGTCCGACAGATTGTGTAGAACAATCAAAGTGTCCGTTTGAGTGATTTGCATGATGACGGATTAAATCAGTAAAGTCATTAATTAGATTATGTTCATTTTATTTCCCTCTTACTACATTTAGCATGTCTTGCATGCTTAAAGTGTTGATTAATGATTAGATAGTGATAACTTGTATATGATGAACGCAAGATCCTAATCCTTCTCCTTTGATATGTCTTCTTTATACATGCAAAATATCCCCGTTTATACCTCAATTTGGGCCAAAATATAGTGATTAAGGCCTTAATTGTATGACTTTACATATGGTTGGGTTTAGATGTGTTTGATGGCCTATTTGGTACAATTTAAAAGAAAAAAATGAAAAAAGGGAAAAAAAATTATGTGCCTTTAATTTCTTAAGTCTTTGCTCTAACTAAAACTAATTATAACCTCTTTTAGCTTTAACTCCTGAAATAATCCAACTGATTTATTATTACGATCAATCCTATACACTTGCAAGACTGAGCTAATCACCTTCCATCTTATTGTCTTTGCGAAATAAGGATCGCAATCTGTTACCCTTTGATTTATAGGTTATTGAAAAGTAATGAAGTGCAAGACCGGGTCTTCAAAAGGAAATGATCCGAGATGGAGAAGCAAAAATAACCTGGTATATTGTCCGATCTGTCACCAGAAAGTGCGATCATGTCAGCAAACTGAGAAGGCTTGAGAGCTCCATATCGTTTTGTGAATTCCTCAACTCCAAAGGAAACTATCCTGTTGAAATGGGAAATTAGAGAGAGAGAGAGGAATTAAAGCCAAGGAATCTTAGATTGAGCAACCGCTTCAGTTAGCAACAATAGCAGCCAATAATGCATCCAAATTATTTATGAGGAAGTAAATGACCAGACAGCATCCAGCATGAGCAATTGTTTTGTATATTTCCATGCATAATCGACTGACGCAAGATGTTTATGAAGTCTCGGAGCTCCCCCCCCCCGGGGGGGTAAAACGCTGAGTATGAACTGGAAAACCAGGTTCAACAAAATCTTTATATAGCCAATTGTACACCTTCTAACAGAGCCTGTCCAAGGATTTTTTTGTTTTTGGGGATACAACAAGGGCCAGAAAGCTAGGGAAAAATCAATATATCAATATAAAATATAAAAACTCAAACAAATCGCAATATCCATAAGTCATGGATAGTACGCTTTATTTTTTAAACTCCATGCAATGCACAGGAGACAAATCTCTTCTACTTATTGTTTAGGCTATAGCGCCAAACGAAAAAAAAAAAAAAAACGAAAAGAAAAGAAAGTCAGGCATTGCACCAGTCTGGGTTGTCACATATATATCATGTTAAAGTTAAAAACAAAGTCATTCTGGTCCTTTTTCTAATAGCCATTAATATTTTTAAAATTGTTTTTGTTGATTGAAGAAGTTATGCAACGTTTGTTATTGACAATTCAATATAACATGACCAGTCAAAAAGATTGAAAACAATTATTCAATGCTATTTCATATATGTTAATCATACATCCTTTCAGCTATTTTCACATAAATTATTTATTTAATTGTCATAAACCATGTGTCTTTTATTTATACATGCATATATATAAAGTCATATAGTATATCATGAACGATTAAAATAAACATACAGATGTCTGAGTAGTGCTAGTGAGTCAACTACAGTCAGATTGATCAATTGACCGGATTCAGATTGATCAATTGCAACCATATCTCTACAGGTTCCATGAATAGTCAGACAGATTCATTGATAAAACCCTTAAACCCTTTCATCGTATTATATCATTATTTTGAAGTCAGGAAGGGTGTTGCTAATTCTAGGACTGACATTGCCGCTGGGACTTGACATAAAAGCAGAAATAATGACTGATACTAACTGATCACCACGTGGCGCAATTCTAAGGAGACGTAGTGATGGAGACAAAATCTGGAAGAAGTCTTTATCTGGGGAGACAACCCGTACCTGTCATCATCGCAAGAAATTTAATACTGACTTAGTCATATCAAGCAGATTTATATAGCTAAAGTAGTCATACCAAACTCTACTTTAAAACAATCACTCCAAGAGCATTCCCAAAATTACTGGTTCCTTAAAAGTGATGTTGTACTATCAATTAGCTGTTTGACCATCTAAGAATAAAAGCGTTCTAGGGAAAATTGGGGATAAATCCTTCATTGAAAATTTAATTGGTAAATGATACCTAAAGATTTTGTGCAACTTAACTCCTCTCGTGTGCAACTTAACTTTCCTCATGTGCAATCCATCTTCCCTTGTGTCACATCTTTTCTTTGCGCAGCTGAACTTCCTTTGTGTACAATCCTTCTTCCCTTATGTGCAAATTAGTTCTGTGTTTCCAAATAATGTTTTGTGCAAACCACCTTCCTTATGTGCAATTCAACTTCCCTTATGTGCAACTTATCTTTCTTTGTGTTGCAACCCATCATCCTAGGGACCATTTGCTAATTAATTTTTCAATAGGGGATTTATCCCCAATTTTCCCAAATTTCTATCAAACATCGAGTCACAATATTATTCAGCAAGCCAAACTGAAAATTTGCATCAAAAGAACAATATATTAACAGCATCAACAGTCTCACGTACAGTAAAAATGCTTTCACAATAAAACAGAGGTTAATGGTTTTGCAAACACCACCAAGTGAAACTACCACCAGGGGCAGACAAGTGATGAAAAGGAACAACACAGTCACAAAATCCTCAAATATCAAAAACCAAAGTATTGAAATCTTCATTTATCACAAATCTAGGTCATGTTCAACATTTCTATATTCTGCATCACGTCTCTTCTTTCTTCAGCCTTTTTACTAATGTAAGGTAAAAATAACACTCAAAATACATCATGATTCAACGTTATCAATCTCCATTGTTCTCCAGAATATTAACATCAAGTCATGTATATGATCAATCAACCCAAGATGTCAAAACAACACTTGAAAAAAAAAAAACATAAAATAAGTAAGGAGAACACATCTTGATGAAACTGAAATTATCACTGTATATGAAGTCAATGTACAGCATACAAATAAATTATTGAAGCTTTACTTCTTCTGATTTTATTTTCACCACTACTGAAACAAGGAAAAGCAGCCACTTGAGCATTTTATGATGTATTCAATTTCAGGTTTTTTCTGTGTTTCAATACATAACTCAGCACTAATTAAGAGCCAATTATACGTCTGAAAGACCAAATATAAGTAGAAAGCACAGGTTTTGGCCACCAATATGAATAAATTCTTAAACCAGAAAAGTGCAATCTTCATCTGGTGAAGGAAACACTATTTTCTCGGTCCCAAAAAGCCTATCAGAGTTGGGGAATGTACAGAGCCATTCTCTATATCTCCAAATACCTTGTACCCAGCATCAACACTCCTTAAAGCTAATGTTCCAATCACGTCATCCGCTTCTACACCTGGTACCTGTCTTGGAGCATATATATATCAACTAAAGAAAAGCATGGATGTCCTCAAGAAATCTCAATCAACAACTTATACTTGCCTCAATGACTTTTATGGACATGGCTTTGATGGATGCTTTAAGGTATTGAAGTCCCTGAACAATGGTATCAGGTGTTGGGGGACGGTTGCTCTTGTATGAGGGGTATAGAGTATGCCGAAAGTTTAGGCCTTTAAAAAAAGTGCACATAAAATTAGGATGCAATATGTTAAGAAGCTGTCACTCTGCCAAAGAACAAAAATGCCCCCAGAAAAACATCGTCAATGAAGAAGGTAAAGGTTCAATTAATCAACTAACCATTACACTAAGATTACCTCATTGCAAAAAATGAACCCACCCAGGCCAATTTGAAGTACGGCACCGCAAAGATAAAAGTGCGGGAAATATGTAAGTAGATCAAGGCCATGCAACCACATCATAGCGCACAGTTCTAAACTTAGAATATGCCTTTAATAAAGCCAAAAGAATGTCGATAAAAATGAGGAAAAATTTTAAGGAAAATCAGTTATTATCCAAAATCTACAGTGCAACCTTCTTGACATCTCCCTCAAATAGTTGAGCTTGTCATCTGGAATACTAAATCATACGAGAAAAATAATGTTACCAGAATGAATGACCCCAGAAATACATCTCCAAAACAACCTCAAAAAGTTCATCTCACATCACCCATATATAACCAAAAGTAGCGTCATAATTTCTGAGTGTGGCTGAAACTGAAAATTTGACATACCTTTTGCAGAAAATCTTTCTTTTGATGAACTACAGTTATGAACAAAAGGAATTCCTGAAAAGAAAAGGTTTTCCATATTAAAATTGTACCTGAGCATAGCTTTACAGACCAAAGCAGCTAAAATTACAGGTCAGGGGAAGAAAGCATTTAAAAATGAATTTAGCAATCTTAAAATGGCGATGAGCTACTGTCAGTAGGTCAGTAAATTCAATAAACATTTTTGCACTCGACTGAAGTTAAGGCATCAAGCATTCCACCAAAAATGGTGTTCTTTGCTGATCACAATAATTTTCATCTCAACACAACCTTGATTATCAGTTCAGTCTGGAAATCACCCAATTCATCCACACTAACTGATCTTTCCAAGCAGCAAAAATCACTCAATTTCTGAGCTGCCCCAGAGAATTTGTTCCTAAGAATATCTGCAATTCAAGTTGCTAGACTTTCCTGGTACATTCGTCTCGATCTATCCTAGTTAGAAGTGAACGTTTGCACCTAACGGATGCAGTTGTCGTTTTGTGTTGTTTGTTATGTTAAAGCTTATAAAACAACGTTTTCCACACAAAACATGCAAGCATAGATGTTGATAGACGTATTAGTCGGACATGATCAGTGTATCTGAATTTATAATTTATTGAAAACTGTTCACATTTTGTTCTTAAAGATATTTTATTTCTCACTTTGAACAAAAGAAGTTGTAAGAATAATAACATTTATCAACTTAAAGCTTCAGTTTTTGTATGAAGAACCATCAAAGCAGTCTTGCTTGTCAAAGTTACATTAGCAACAACGCAACAACCAATACCTCACAAAATGATATCTTAGTAGCACTCAAACATTTCACCCCTATCAAATAATTGATTGAACCAATAATACCGCAGATTCTGTCTTTGTAATTTGATTCAGATGATTGAAACTCCTTAGATTTTCTGATTACTGAAAACCACAATATTGTATTAGTAGAAATTAGATGCTGAAATAACTTAATTAGGGTAGTTCAACACAACTATTTTTTAGCATAAATTTCCTACTGCCATTATTGGATTAGTAGAAATTAGATGCTCAAATAACTTAATTTGGGTAGTTGAACACAACTATTTTTTAGCTTAAATTTCCTACTGCAATTAGTTTCCTAGAATAAATGCCAAATACATCAGCAGGAACTTCAAAGGTAGCAGTTCTCCAAGATTCAGCAAGACACCGAGCTAAGGTCCATCATCCTTATGTTCAAGTGCAAACTTCTAATTAATAAATTTACTACAAAGAGAAGGACCCAGCTATACATGCAGAATGCCAACAGTTCCGGCAAGGTTACTTAAAGGACAGTAAGCAGCTTGAACTGAGTTATCTGATGCATGTATCACATGAAAATTAACACCTGAGTGAAAGAGCCTCCATTAGGAGCGTGCAAAGAGTACTCAAACCACATGGATTTTAACTCTTAAGCTTTTTTACTTATATTCTCACAGGTTTTCTAGGCAGATTTCTTTCATATTCCCAAATTCAAGCTTCATTCATTCTATTAATTCTCTTTTGTATTTTCTCGTTGTCTTCCCCTTGAATTTCGGCTATGGAATTATTCACTGTCATTGTAGTCACTAGTCAGCTTGTCAATAAAAATATCCCTAATTTTGGTCAGGATAACCTACAAAAACACTAGATCAAATATAAAAAGAGCTATAAGAGAATTCACAAGGGCGCACACACAAGCCTACCTAGAGACAATCCAGCAACTATTATTAATGATGGTTTCACTTTCACCCCCAGAATTATGAGAAAGCATAAAAACCATCAACAATGTGTTGAAAAGATAAAACTTTTAGAATAGCAGAGGATCCAAGAGAAATAAACATACAGGAAAAATTATATGACTCACCGTCGTGGTCAAATACCACCTGCATGCACAGGAAACCAAATTATATCAGCAAGATTAACTGATTAGAATGAGTCAGGAAAGAGAATGCCTGATAGGAAGTAATGAAAAAGACTAGTAAAGCAAAAAAAAAAAAGAGTAGTAAAGCAAAATTTTAGGAAAATGCTTGCATCTTATATTTAAGATAAAAACATGATTTGCCGCAAACGTACCGCCACATGGGAAGGAATGAATTCCAGAACATCAATTATCTGAAATAAAGATAAATAAGGATAATTAATATATAAAATTTCGTAATAATTTCTTTAAAAATTAAAATAGTATTGATAACAAATAAATTACCTTCATCTACATTTCAGGTGCCCAAAAATAATTATAAAAAGTATCAATAGACCAAGACGAAAAATATTTGCCACCAGCAGCACCAAAATTTATCTATCCCAAAAATTAGAGCAAAAATAAACAACTTCATATAAATATAGCTTACAAGTGATAGAGCTGTAAATATTGTCAAAACCCAATCTCCATTTCCATCAGCATTTGTCAGATGACCATGGTGCAACTTTGCTATCACACAATCAAAAGGAATTAATGGCAATCAAATACTCAAACTTAAACTCAAGAACCCAAGCAAAAAGCAGAAGACCAAGTTGTATAACAAAGTTTCTCCCATTATAATGAGAAGAACAATGCAGTTTTAATCAGTGGCAAAGTATTTATAAACCCAAAAATTTTAGCAAGTGGCATCGTTATTATTCTTCCATAATAACATGATGCCTCTTCAAACCATCTTAGAAAAATACAGAAATTGCAGCGTGTGCATCTCCATACAACTTATTCAGCAGATGCAAGGTAAATCAGCTATAAAGCGCAAAAGAATAGGAAGAAAGGTGGATTGGCACGACATCTTGGGTTTTCAGAATGGTGAAATCTCCAGCCATATGGTTGATGATTCAAGATGCATCGGCGTCAAGAATGCATAATCTTAAGAGATAAAATCATCCCAACATGTTTGTTAGTTTTGGCGTTTTGGTGATGTTAATATCCTATAATCTTAAAAATAAAATCATCCCAACATTTCTGTTAGTTTAGCTTTTTGGTGCTGTTAATGATACTTCATGACCTACCATGGTAACATGGTTATGAGGGATGGGATACAGTGTTAAGAAGCACTTAGTCAAAGGCCCAGGAATGACTAGATCAATATCTCTAGAAAATATGAATTCTTTCCCTTATCAAAATGATCAGTTTTATGAATTACAAAAGAAAATTACTCAGGCCTTGGTTTTGTGATCCAATCAATACCTAGGTTTCTTATGTTCTATCAACTAGTCCAAAATAACGTTCAACACACCCCAAAAGATGTGAAATGAATAAACTGATCTATACCCAGTGTAATGGGAAATATCAACAAAGAGAGTACGCATTAACACGTGTCATATACCTAAAAGCTTGAAGTAAGCCCTATATATTATTGATGTGCCATCAATGAGCATAACTCTACCATTCATTGGATCAGTGTTTGCTGCTCTTTCTCCAGTGTTAGCTGCACCAAGCTGCAAAACTTGAACTGGCTCATATCTACTTTCTGAAGGCAGCGTCACATTACTCTGACAAGTTGCGGGAGCAACTCCAAGTGAATCTGAACTTGCATTATTCAATGCACTAGAATATTTCTAATGAACATGAAACATTAGGAAACAAAACAATTTCCATAATCAAGAGAAATTTCTATGAAAATTACATCTTTTCAACCATACATCACAAGCTTCATAATCGAAATATGTATACAGCATACAGATTTTTATTCCCAGGATATAAAGGTTTTACCGCTTTAACATAACTGTCTTCCAAAAACCAAAGCCCAATAATGCAAACGTGAAGAAAGGGAGCTGGTACCCTCAACCCCAACCCCACCCCATTTTAACCATTAACAGCACAAAGAAGAAGTTCACTCTAAGAAATTGATTTCGAAATTTATTACTACTGCTCTCAAATAACTAATCGAGAAAACTTCACATCTAGAAAAGCAGCAGCGTTTCAGTGACTATGATAACTTGCCAAAGCATATTATACTCTATACTGACCTTCAAGGTTAAATTGAATGAGGAATGAAGCAGCTTTGGTCTTTTAAGACGGTAAAAGCAGTTCCTTTCATTGCTCGAAAAGTTTCTTTCAAAGCATGTAATGCCCCTCCAGAAGGAATGAAAATGAACAGACAAGTACCGACAGCATGCCATTTATAGAAGCACTGAAGGTGACTGTGGCATGGAAAACGAGCTTTTAGATGGTTCCATAACCTGAAACTCCATATTGGGCATCCATTTGTCATGATAAAGAATGATGCTTGAATACTGTAATGCAACTATCTAGTTAATCTTTTCATAAAAATATTATTTAAAGAATAAATTACATGCATGACCCCATGAATGAAGCACAAGTTCAACATGGCCACCAAAATTAGGCACAAGAAAGCCCAGGCTTCTTAAGGTGTTCAACTAATTAACAATTCTAGGTATTCGATGAGTCAGAAAATGGTTGAGTGCTGAGCTGGGCTCATGGGTTATCAAGAACCTAAATTTAACAAACAAAACTTCTGGCAGTACTTCGTAGTATAACTGCTCGTCCATTGGCCAAGCCATTAGAAATGAGAAAAAGCATCATAACTCGTATAGCATAAGGTTTCACATACCAATATTACAACCTCTTTCTTTTTATTTTTAATTCTAGGAAACTCAAACATCATTCAGATCAGGATTGTAAAAGATCAAATTGCTCATTCTTTTTTCAGGAACTGAAGCCATAGGGCCAAAAATATTGTGAAAATTGTCCTTTTTAATCAACGATACATCTTTTTTTTTTTTTTTGTGGTAGAGAAACAGAAAGATGATTAATGCCCAAAAAAAAGATTAAAAAACAACGTCGAAAGAGAGCTGCAGGTGAGAGATATTATTTTGACTAACAGAACAGCACGCTAAAATTGATTCAACATTCAGAATTCTAATCATACACAAAAAAAAAAAAAAAAAAGCTTAAAGCCTTGCTTCCTTTCAACATTCGGTGAAATGTTTCGGGAAAATACATTGAAGCCCAACTATGAGACCTAGAAATCAACCCAAAAGAAAACATAATAAGAAGTACTGGAAAGGAAGTAATTAGTTCGAGCTTAACAGTTAAAGGGGAAGTACCCATGTTGTTCAGTAATGATAGCGCAATTTCTTGCAGTGTTGAATGGCAGTAGTTATGCTGCATGCTATCACACTGACAGTGATTCCAATACCACCTTGCTGTTGAGTTTGGCAACTAAAGCCACCGTGTTTTTGCCCTCTAGGATGAAAGCGAGAAGCAGTCAATAGAAAAGGAACGTTTTTTATTCCCTTTCTAAGAAGAATTGAGAAGCAAATAAACTGAGGGGCAGTGTTTGTCGTGTGGGTGGGAAAAGAAACGGAGAAGCCAAGTCCAAAAAACTTGCATGAGCATGAGTGCAGTCCGTTGAAAGAAAAGAGATGTCAGGCGCTCACCGAGAATGCAGGGATAGGCTCTCCCGCCTCGCCTGAGGGCAATGGGGCAATGGCCAATGGGATGCGGGAGGGAGGGCCTGGAGAGTGGAGCACGTGGCTTGCACGTGGAATGAATTCTATCATAATCCTTGTTCATTTCCGCCACATTTTGATCCCGGCAATCGGCATGCAAGAAGGAGGAAAAAGAATTCAACTTGTCCTTCAACATATTGCTGTAATCCAATGATCAATATCCTTGAGGATTCAAATCCGAGGTGAAAAAAAAATAGAAGAAAATGAGAGAAAAAGGTGAATCAAAGAGATCCAACTTATAAGTAGTTTTTTTTCCTTTTGTTTTTTTATAGGCATTGAATATTAGGGAGTGTTTGAAAGCATCCAAAAATGCTTCGGATAAGCACTTTTCTGTAAAACGAGGCAAACTTCTCCACATATATATCTCGTATACCGTAAAAATACATTTAAAATCATGATTTGATTTTCATCCAAACATTCCCTTAATAGTACATACTCACCAGGCGGTGATTAATTTGAATTCACATTCGATGTCTATGTATCATTCAAATACTCATCAAACACAGAGTTTAATTGGCTAGATCACCGTTAGGAGTGAAGAAGAAATTAACTTTGGAGCATAAAAACCTTGATTGAAATGTTGTGGCATCGCTTAAAAAAAGGATAGAAAATGCTTAGACTGATGTTAGAACTATTCTTCTTTTGAAACCCAACACTTCGTGTCTTCAGCTAGTCTTGAGGTCGAATACATGTATACAATTTTGCCGCTTCTATCTGCAGCTAAAAAATTGTTGTGCTGTAGTCGTGATATCGCTTACCGTAACACCAGCACAAATTTAACAACCTTTTAATTCCAACCTCAAAATTGTATAGTTATTCCTCTGGGTATCAAATGAAAAATCATGAACTTGAAAAAAAGAATGTCATTTGGGCCTTCAAATGTGCTGATTTCTAAAAATGCGTAGCTTCGTGGGAAAAGGTGCTAAACGAAGGTTTATGCTACCGCAAGCCGGCAAAAACTTGTCAAACTTGGTGGTGAGCCGCTTCTTTGAAGAGCCCAGTGAGGAAGAAAATGAAAGTCCATGTGCCCCATCGACTGCTGGGGGATTTTGGAATGGCTTGGGCCATGGCAGCCCAATTTTGGGGTCAGCCACAGCCGACCTCAGCCTGCAGGACTCCAGCTTTAATTTCGGTTGAAATATTGTGACCCCCAACCAAACAGTAATAATTCATACATACGCGTTTGGCTCATCAAAGGTCAACAAAGCATGCAACATGTACTGGCCTGCCACAAGGCTCATGACGCAATGAAAAGGATGCTGCACCTTCAAAAGAAGGATATTTTATAAAGACCAGTTTAGTTGGTGGGAGGTATGTTGAGTGCTAATTTCACCTGCACATACAAGACACAGCGGAGATATTGAAAGAAGGATGTGCGTTGGTGTGGAACAGTGAGGTGTTTGTGGGCAGGCATCATGGTCATCGACATTATCTCGGAGGATGAAATGATAGCCGGAAGCAAAGCACCAGGAGAGATGAATACGATATAATAAATAATACTACTAAAGTGGATCCAGAAGATTTACCCGAGGGATGGTTTAGATTTAATTAAGATTCCATGTCTGGTGCCATAATTCCCGTTGGCTCCTAAATTCTAATTCTAATTCTAATCGCGGACATTCATGAGTAGAGTATGGTCTGTGTACACACGGACTCGGCCCTGTACTGTCCCAAGACCTCACACATATATGCTCGTACAAATACCTCATTCCAGTTTGGACCCCTCCATCAGTGGTTTTTTTTTCCCCTAATACGAAACAATTCAAGAGGAAAAACGAAACGTGCCTAATTGCCTGACACATTAACAGCAAGAGATTATTCGAAATTCCAATATGAGATGAAATTACCGTTTTTGTCTAATGTTTTGGATGGATAAGCAAGTGAAGGAGTGAGAGCAGAAATACATGCGCTAGTTTTTTTGGGGGGGGGGGGATCAGAAAGATGGCCAGCGGGCAAGCACCGGATCCAAGCGGGGGCATCACGGGCTTCCAAGTTTGAAACCCCCAAGGCGAGTTTTGAAAAATGGGGGAAAAGAGAGCAAAACCGCGTGGGGCCCATGCGCGACTAAAATCCTTGGCTCGTGGACTTTTGGGGCGCCCCCCGGGTCCCACATCTCACGACATCCCCATCCCAGTCGCGAGCGCCCTCTCCTCTTAATGCACGCCTCACTCACGCTCTGACACCTGTGGGTTTGGTAGGATCCCCGGAATCATAGATGATCAACATAGCGGAGCCACGCGGGACCCTTTGTCCCCAACACTTCACCTGATCCTATGAACTGCTCTGACTCTGACACCCATTTCCCGCCAACGCCCCCCTCTTTTTCTCCCCCCCTTCATTTTTCATCCATCCAAATTCCTCGCCCAAACAGAGGAATTATAAGTGTATTTATGCAACTCAAGATAACACTATTCTTATTTGTCTCGTCTGTTATAAATTAAACGAGTACTTAAGTTTAATCCATATTCATATATAATACTCCGTGATCCTATTGAGAAATTTCATAAATTTAATACCACACATAAGCATCAGATCAGATTAGGAGGTTCAATTATTTTATCTTTTGGCTACCTATCTATAAACTCGACGGTACGGTTTAATGCTGGATACGTGATTTTCTCTGTCACACACATCAAAAGCAAACGTCATATTTCCGGCTATTTTGTCACGCATTTAACGTCAATTTAGTAATTATAAGTTTTTTTTTTTTGGGCGACTTAGGATGGGAAACCCAACCGTTTTACATCAAAATGTCATTAATATTTGTCTTGTCGTGAAACAGAGAGATTCCTGATGTGGACAAATTATAGAGCGCCCCCTCCGTAATTTTATTTAGTATATCAGGACAATTATGACAACGCAAGCGGATGCAAATCAAAGCTTTTTTGGGTTTGAAAATTTGGATTTCGCTCGTGTCTCGAAGGGAGAAAAACATCTCTCTCTTTCTTTCTTGGGTGGATATTAGCTGTCATATAATTTATTTTAAAGTGACTATATAATATAATATTATATGTATTTTTCGCTTTATAAAACGCCGTTGCTGACATTAGTCTGTTCTTCCCCCACAACTCTCGATACAATCCCACCGTCCGTCTCCTCCGAAGTTGATTTGTTGGAGTGAGGGTGATTTCCGTGGTGAATATTGCGAGTTACACCTGAACCTTTAACACTTGTTAGTATTTGCCATCGCTTCTACTGGCGACGGAGCTGAGCTTGCTTGCTGACTTTAATTTGGACACTGTGCTGTAAGGTTTCCATGACGGCCAGCTCCTTCTGCAATGCTGACTCTGTGTTCTCGGTAAGCTCTTTAATCTACTGAATACCATCTCTGGAGCTGGTTCTGGGAAGCTATTGTATGCATGATCTCTTCCTCTCATTCTAATCACACGATTCCCCAACATCCTGCTCTTCTCCCTACTCTCTCCTCATCAATCTTCGTTTCCTCTTCAACTATTTAATATTCTCCTGCTTGGTGTAGCTGAAGCCGTCCATTAACATTAAACTACCCTGGCATGGAAGATTTGTTGCTCAATTTAGATTCATTCATGCACCGTCTTTTGATTATTTTAAAGAATGATGATACAAATTAATTAATGGGCCCACCTGAGCTTGCCTTGTCTCACATAGTTGCGTTCCTGCCCAACATCGCCCAATTAAAAACTAATTAGTATTAGAACGTTACTAAAACACAGTCTTCACGGGTTGCAATAGTTGTTTTTACTGGATAATAACCCCGATTAACACAAGGAGGGTTGGTTACGCTGATCGATGCTAGAGTCTCTGTGGTATCATGACCCTTGGCCCCGCGGAAGGATTTTTGGTTTCTATGGCAGTTGTTTGGGTCGCTGTCCGACTATGATTTTCGGTTCTGGTGGAGCTGTTGCCTCTTTGTGTTTCTGACATTTTTGTTTCAATGATTGTAATCATGATTTGTAGAGGTGGTAGTTAACGATGATGACTTTGCTTTCCTTAGTTTAAATGCGAGCATTATTTTGACCGAGACTGCACATGTTGCTATTTGATCTTTATAAACATATATCCTTTCATTATTATCATTATTATTTATTGCATGCTGGTAAAGATGACATAAATTTTTGTTTAAATATAGAGATCGCGACCACCAAAATGGTTGTGGTTATCTTGGATGCTTCTTCAATCGAAATCAATCTCTTTACATGAGATCCTGTTTGATGGTGCTTACCTTTATGCATACTCCTGGTTCAGCTGGACTGATCTTACGACTTAGGAATGTGATGAAGCTTCCTTTTGAATTAGGAGCTTGGGGCATTATTAACTGTGGATTCCATTTTTTTTTTTGGGGGGCCCTATAATGGGGTTCCTTTTCTCAATCCTTGAAGTGAATCTTCTTTTTGTTTTTACTACTTCCTTACAATTTATGAAAATTTATTTGAAGTTTTTTGTTTTAGAGTATTAGAAATTGGAGATCGTTGGACTTTTAAGCGTGGAGAATCCTGAAACAGTGCTGTAATTTTTGGTAGTACGGGGCTAATCCATTCTTACTGTTAACTATTCTTGCCACTCTTATGGAATATGTGATTAATTGCCTTTGTAACCGTTTTGTTGAGCTTCCTTTTAATATTTTCACTTTTGCTTCTGCTCCATCTTCTTCTGTCTTCCTTATTAGAGAATGTTCTGTTTGTTGATTCTATCAGAGAGAAGAAGGGGTAGATATTAGAAAGATGATGGAACCAAAGAGGAGCCTCTGCTCTGTGGATCAAAGCAATTATGCCTCTATTGCATCTAAAAGACACAAGGCCGATTTATCCATCTCCACAAAGGTTTCTTGTTTTCCTTTGTCTTGATTTGTTTCCATGATGCTCAGAGATGCAACATATTCATGATCATATTTCTAGAGGCTTGCTTTCATTTTTGTTCCTCTTTTATGTAACATCTCTTACCAAGATTCTTCTTCTGCTAATAGGAGAGAAAGGAGAAGATTGGTGAACGAATTGTCGCCTTGCAGCAGCTCGTTTCTCCGTTTGGGAAGGTATGAAAAATTTGTTCTTGCATTTGCTTTATATCTGGTGGAATTTACGGGAAATTATTCATAGCCTAAACGGTAAACAAGGGAAAAAAGAAGCTTGATTGACTTGATTGATAGCTTGCTTATTATTGGCTTAAGTGAAAAGGCTGAATCTAATAACTCTTCCCTCTCTGATTCTTGCTGCAGTCAGATACTGCTTCGGTCCTTTTAGAGGCAACTCACTATATCAGGTTCCTTCATAAACAAGTTAAGGTTTGGCCCTTCTTGCTATATTTTACTTATGATATTCGCATGAATATTGATTACCCGTCTAGTAACTGGCTTATACATCACTATTTTGATGCACATGCTTATGCTAGACGAAGTGATTCAGTCGCAGAAAATTTCTCGTATTGATGTGAATTTGTTTGATAGCAACTTTCAGTGGAATATATTTTCACTTATCATAATCCACCTAAAGCATTGCAAATTTTTCCCTGGTCTAGTTTATACCAAGCCTGTTTTCTGAAAAAATAGACTCTAAACTAAGCCCATAATATCATATGATCTATTTAGGTAACCTCACTTAATGAGATAAAGACAAAGTTTGTCGATGTTGTGTTTTCCAAACTTCTATTCAGCAAGAGAAAGGAGATCTGTCAACTTATAAACAGAAATTCATGCATTTGAACTCAAAATGTGTCAAATTGATATTTTAAATCCCTACTCAAGTTCTTTTAGCCTTATTGTTCAAATCTACACAGCTGACAGCTTTTCACGGTGATGCTTAACAAGGGAAATAGAGAATGATGAATCTCCATGAAAAAAGAGAACCGTCACCATAATCATCATAGAGACTTAAAAGTAGAAATGTAAACGATCAATGTAAATTTATACGCTCAAATATAGGCCTGCATAAATAAGCTGTGTTGAACATGACTTTGATGTCATGCGCATAAATTTTCCTTGCTGTTATTTCAGGTACTTAGTGCTCCTTATCTGCAATGCTCTCCTACTACCAAAACGCAGGTGAGAATAAGATGATCACTACCATGTGAATGAATACATTTAACTTTGTGATTTTTTATATTGTATGAGACGAATATTAAGCTTGGAAGGGGAAATAATAATAATAATAAATAGAATGTGGATTTCATACTTGACATAGATAAGTCAAACAAATTATGAGAAATTTTATAGTTTATATATATTTATGAGACGTAGATATGTCTGGACTCTAAATTTGGTCCCCAGAAGAAAACTCTCAAGAATCTAAATGCTAAACGCTTGGTATCTGCAAATTGACAGGATAAAATTATTTTCATTTTCTTAATAACTAGAAAAATAACCTTGCATCATCACTAAGTGGGTCAAGTGAAAGAGGTTTGATTGTCGTAAATAAAGTTGAGAATTCAAACCGTCCGGAGGGAAAGGAAAAGTCATGTTACATTATAAAATATTCTTCTGGTTTTAAATATGAGAATCATTTTATAATGTAATTAAAATAAGTTTTATATTTAGGACCGGATGAGTAAGTTTTATATTTAGGATCGAAGGAATATTTTTTTCTTTTTAAAAAAATCCCCTTGCAAGTGCAAGTAGATTTGGTGAAAGAAAAATAAGAACAAAAGGTAATCAAGCGCAAAGCCTCAGGCGGTACTCATTCCGTTTTTTTTTATAAGCAACACATATTATCTTTCTCTGGTTTATAAATGAGTAATATTTGCAAGTTTTCTTGAATTTTATAACAAATTTCTTATTTTATCTCAGTATTTACTTGTGTTAATATTTAATATATTTATTATTTTATTTTTTAAACTATCATATCTTTCCGTCATACATTTTTTTATAATTTTTTTATGATGATAATTTTCTTATTTTCTTTCTTATGTTTTTTCTCTCCATAAATAAGAGTATTTTGAAAAAAGAGAACTTCTAATTTTTATTTATTTATTGTTTTTAATTAATTTTTTGATCTACTGATGGAGCCTTATGTTGTTTATAAAAGGAGACGGAGGGAGTATTTGTTGAGAAAATAAGGAGTTGAATATTGTATGATGCGTTGATAAACAATACCCATAAGGGCTAGGGGATGGTAATTTTTTTTTCTTTGCTTTCTTCTCATTTTCTTTCAAAGGCACGTATTGAACATATTTAGCACTGTTCACTAACATGTTAACAGTGCGGCTTCTTATGTAGCTTCGGTTTTTGAATTTCAATTTGATTTTAAATATAAAATTTTAATTTACTATGTTTTTTATATTGATCTGTTTTTTTAAATAGTTTTTATAGTAATTATATATGTTAAAAGTTGAATATTTACTTATTGTAAATAATTAACTTAATTTTTTAAAAAATTAATTAATTATATTTATTTGTCGTTCAGGATGTAGAGGCGTGCAACCTGAGGAGCAGAGGATTATGTCTGGTTCCTGTGTCGTATACGATTGGAGTGGCTCAGAGCAATGGCGCAGACATATGGGCCCCCACCAAAAGCACGTCATCGCAGCTTGACTAGCCTATTTCTATCCCAACCTGGCAATTTCACTTGACCCAATTAATTAGATGAGATTGAGCGTGAAAAGTTTAAAAGTTGCTCGGTCTTGAGGGTTAACTATCTCTGTATTAACCGCACAAGAGGCGTTCTGCTGTGCCGTAATGGCAATTTGTAGCTCGAGCCTGGAAAACATATCCATGCATCGACACCCACATGGTGGCCTAGCTGTAGTATTCAAAACCCCCTCCCTCGCCTTTAACGTCTTAAACTGGCGATGCCCAAGCTATCAAGTATGGCAAGCCGCTTGTATTCTTATACTGATTATAAGATAACTTGTATATTTATAAATGCTAGTTCTTAAGATTGCGGTGCTACTTCAGTTTACTATCCTTGTTTCCAGAGTGAAACAATTTATAATGACTCGTATGGATTGCTATCATTTTGTACTCCTGCAATCTATTTATTTCTGATTTGGTCAACAAGAATTAAAGGGTGCTCGGATAACTTTCGAAGCATTTTTTAGAAACACTCTTTTATAAATTGAGACAAGTTTTTTTATATATTTATTTCGTATATATTTATTCTGTATACTATAAAAGTATTTTTTAAAACTATAGTTTTATTCTTATCAAAATATCCTCTTAGTCTTATTGATGAAAAATTGGTTTATAATTCACAAAATATACTAATATAAAAATTTTATTGATAGACTATCTATAAATATATCTGTAATCTTTTTTTGAGTCTAAAAACATGTTTTGGTTCTAGTGAACCTTCAAAATTCAACTCATTTTTTTGTATCAGAAGGGAAAAAAGAAAAGAAAAAAGGAATGAATCTCGAACTAAGCACAGGCCGCGTTCGAAATTTTAAGGCCACGGTCTCGTTCAATGGAATTAGGCGGACAAAGGCTGGACGCCTCAACCACGTTGAAGGCCATCGTCTGAAGAACAATAGGCAATAGGATATGCCATTGCTAAACAAATCAAAGGGCAAGGTTTAGGCCGGTTGGACGTTGACATTTTAGAAATCAACACCCCCTCCCCCTCTCTCTACCGGCGGGCTGCAACTGTTCACCGGCAGCACCCTGGTAAATATTTTCTAATACTGCCATAAAAACACATACAGGTGGGGAAACGTTATCTCGTGAAAATCAACCATCACAAAACTCGAGGTATCATTGTTTTACATTCGACGCTGGTATCATTGTTTTGCAGCGATTTAGGTTAATTGTAGCAAGGCCAAGTTTAGTCTAATGACTCCTCCAAAGTTGGCACTTTATGTACCAACAGTCCTTTATAAGGAATTCCCACTCCAGAATGAATATAAATAATTAGGCTTCGTAGGGAACGGATTCAAGGTTTTCAATGAGCTGCCAACGGCTTCACCTTCTCGCGCAGGAACTGCAGGATATGCTCCCGCTTCCAATTATCGATTCTGAAGCAGACGAAAGAAACTCATCCCATCAGGAAAATAAATAAATAAATAAATAAAATCTACTTCTTTACACCTTTTTCAGAAAAATCCTAGGTCATAATGTACAGCGAAGGCATGGTCGTCAATTGTCACAGTCTCTTTTTTTCAAGAGAAAACTATAACTCTATTGCTGCTACGTGACTGGCAAAGGCTTTCAACAAGCACGCTTATAAATTATTCTCAGAACTGCTGGAGCTACTCTTATGGACTCTATATAGATTACAAAACCTTTGTCAGTTTGACATTTTTTCAAAAAAATTTTATGATGATGTTTTAACCGAATGATATCAATGAACAACCAATAGAAAAGCTAAATCATGAGAATCTCACAAAGTAGCTTTATTATGTATCGTCATGAGTTCTCACCTGATTGTTTCCATATGTTGACCAGCATCATCCAGCATGATCAACTTTGGAGGGGAATTGAAAACATACTGAACTTTAACTGATGGGAACTGGTCCTTTTCCTCTTCAATGAAGCCCACAATCTCAGGATAGAAAACAAGTTTCCTCATGCAGACTTCCAAAAAAGCTCCAGAGTACCTAATCTATATATTTATTACAAGCATTAAAAACGAAGGAACAATAAATCGAGGAATGTTGAGATCAAAATTAATGTAATTGCAACGATAGAGGATAAAGTGATAAACACACTCACGAAGGTCCAGTCTCCGTAACCAACATTTACTATCTGGCCCAAGAAAATACTCTGATCCGGGAGATGCATGCGAAATATTATGAGTTGACAATATTATCTAATTTTACCTTCACTCTTGAAAATAAATTTCCTTCAACACAGCATTTCACTTGCTACAGAAATATTTTCTTTCACAGCAAAAGATTCATTCAACAAAGTAGGGCGAGTAGAAGGAACGAAAGAGAATCATCCTTCATCTTATATGGAAACTAGTAAATTGCAAAATAAATTTCCAACCAAATATGTATTTGTCTAGATTGTCATGCGCTTATAACTGCATAAGCGAGACAAAAATTCTTTCATAAATTACCCAATATTGAAGCACATTTATTTAGCGTGAGGAGGGCATCAGAAATCCTATACACGAACCTTGGTCATGGCATCGTTGGAATCTTCCGTGCAACACTTCAGACAGTCCGATACCAGCTCTGCAGCCAAAGTTTAAGACAGAAGTTTATGATGCATGTTAATATTAACGAAACAGCAACCGGAAACAGGGAAAAGGACGGAATCTTGATGCTGCAAGCTGTGTTTAAATGTAATGTAAGAATATGACTTTCCCCGGAAAAAAAAAAGGTGTTCTCCTATCCGATGACCAAGTTCTTGACAATCGACAAGTTCCATACACAAGGCTAGAGTTGAATTAAGAAGCCGAACATTTGATTCCAGGCCTATTAGGATTTAGAAGAGGATATCGTTTTCGAAATCTGAAAAAATACGGAGAGAAGAACCCAGAGAAAGATGTCTACGGAACGAACAACGAAACTCATGGATCTGTAGAAAGAATAAAGCAGAATCAAGAGAAAAAGGTTTAGGGGATCGACCCTTGTCCTTAACATACTCGGCGAAAGTATTGCAGTCAGAGCACAAAGCAAGACCAGTATAGCCCAGATTCTCACATTCTCTTGAGCTTAGTTGCTCCATTGCACTGCCCAAAGGCACTGCTGCCAATATCACAACTGTAGCGATTCCGAAGATCAACGCCTTCATCTTCATCTTCTCTGGCCTCCCGAAGCCCCTCTCCAGATGTCGTCAAGTAATACTCCTATAGTCCGATTTAGCGAAGGTTACTCCTTTGACTTTTAATTGCTCTTCCTATGTAGGCTGGCCCACTGATATTTCTGGGCTTGGAGCTCCTCCTTTTTTTTATTAGTCCATTTTTGTATCTTGTAAAAGCCCAGTACAAAATTTCCGCTTAAAGTATTGAAATGTCCATGTGTAATAATGCTTGAAACTATCTCAAATAGAGTTTACTTTCGACAGAACATACCAATACTTTAGTAAAAAATATTGCTGGTGAAATGACAGGGCTCAAGCAATCATGATCACAAGTTTCTTAAAATAGGCACGTCATGGCCAAAAAAAAGTTATCAACGCTCAGAGTGAAACAAAGGGACAATTATAAACTAAAATTTTTTATTTTTTAATAATAAAAATTAATATTGAATAATGCTAACAAGAATATAATTACTAATATATAACTAGATCTTTGCATGAGGACAAGATATTATAAATATTAATTAATTTTAGAGGGCAAAATCATAAATATTAACATTATTAGAAATGTTTATTGGCAAAAAAAAAACATTATTAGAAATGTTATGTTATCTTTTGCGTATACTCTGACAAAATGGTTCTACTTCCAATTCTTAATATAAGAATTAGTTAGAAGTTATTAATTAACCTTATCTCTCAAATTTATAATATTTCCTCTGTTTTTTTTTTTGGTGAACAATTTATAATGTTTTCTAGAATATCTCAATTGATTATAAATGTTCCCATCAAAAAATAATTTCAAGGCACGTAACTTAAAAAAAAAAGTTTAACAAAGTCAATACATTTATGAATTAACTAATTTAACTAATTTTCTTAATATTTTGAAATTAATTATCTAATTTTTATATTAGGATTCAGTAGTATAACAAAGGTAACAAGATTTTCCTTGTTTGGGTTTTACATTTACATTTTAATAGTTGCTTTGATATTAATTTTTTGTTCAGGTACCCTTCTATTAAAGATAATCTTGTTCGAAATACTGTTACACACTAAATATGAACACTCCTATTTGAGATTTAACCTTGGATAAAACATTTAAACACATGAACAACCAGAACATCAAAATTCCATAAAAGCGTTCACGTAACGTGGAAACACCAGGATCCTTTGTGATGACATCCTGAAAGTACTGAAGGAGAAGATACACGAGACAAACCTACCGCCACCACATTTACTTCTGGGGCTCAGCAAGTGAAAAGTTTTTTTTTTTTTTTGTTGGGGGTGGGGGGCGTTACAATATTACACAGAAAGAAATCCTGATCCGAAGCAGCCAGAAACTTCAGGAGTTGTCAGAAGTTGCGGGGGTTGAAACCGCCGTGTCAATCTCACCACCAGAAGCGTTGTTGTTTACATAAGATCGGGCAACTTCTAACATGACATCAACTTCTTTCTTGTACTGCATTGAGTAACCATAATACTTTGAATATCTGAAGGTATTACTAAAAACTAATGAAATCAACGCAACCGCTATGATGCAGCAAATTCGTCAATCAGAAGTCAACCAACCTCATTGATTGCCCCAGCCTTGATTTTAGATTGCATCACACACCATTTCTTAAAGTGCGCACCTGCAGGAAACATTGACCTAACTTGATTCCTAACTTAATGAAATTTAAGTTAAATAGTAGCGCAAGGGGGTAGGGAGACGGTGGCAGATTTCATTCAAAGCATTTCATTTTGTTCCCTTCAAAGCTCGGAATTCTAGCCTAATTCAAAAAACTGAAATAAATTAAACACAGTGCAAAATGTGAACACGTTATTTCCACAGGAAGCAGAAAGTCGTCTGGACGACTAACCCACAACTGCTTGCGGTTATGCCCCACTATAATTCTAAGAGAACCTTGTACCTCTGCTTTTTGGGGCTCCAAAGAGAACCTTATGCCCAGCAACACTAAACTTTTAAATACTACTGTTACTGTGTCTAACTTTATAACGAGAAAGCAAATTCATCCTTCAAATTTGATTCAACTTCTAGGACTGGGACTTGATTTTCAAGCCAATTACTGAACAGAAGGTCCGGATAAGCACATATAACTTCTTCGCTATCTGATTCGTAACTAATTTCTGCTATTATTTGGTGAATGGCCTTCTGGTTAAAGATAAACCAAACTTTTATTGTCGTTTTCTTTTTCTTGGATAAAAATTTTGATTCTCTATATCATCTCTACTCAATTTGATTATTCTGCGATGCTAGACAAATCTTTGCACGGCAAGCGAAAAATTTGTCGTCTGGCAACTTGAGAGTTATGGTTTATTATTTTATCCCATAGAATAGACGCCTCATTCAACGCTGTAAATGCCGCATGTTTGACATCCCTCTTGACAATGATTAGTGTCCCTTTGTATCTAATCAGCTGGAGGAAGGTTATCTAGAACCTTCATTTTAATTAAATGAGATATAAAAAGAATATCTTATGAAAATGTAATTAATGTGAAATAAATAAAAAAGCAAAGAGAAAATTAGTAAAAGGGCTTATTCCTTTCCTTCTTCCTTCTTTTTATATGCCATGTTGACTTAATTTAACTTTATAATAGCAGGGGACTGCAACACCTAAGGCATGCTCAAGGGATGGGTAAAAAATTAATCAGGCATCAGTTTCATTCCAAACTTACCCACTTTTATGTCCAACGTACTTGAACTTTCATTAATCGCCTCCAAACTCCATTTACAATGCACCTGGTTGACACAGAGAACTTGATATCATCTATTCTTTGATTATTGCATATCAAACAATAAAATAAGTCCAGATAATGGAGCACGCAGACTTCCTGAAATCTATAAAATGAAGACATTGCAAAAATTCTTAAAGACAGCCAACACATCATTTTCTGCGCCAAACAGTGCTTTCTTAGCATTTGATCAGTAAATAGAGGTTAAAGGGCCAATCTTACATGACATAATTATTGAGAGTTTGATCAGTAACATATTTGGTCTAAGCCCCTCCTTTTCTCCGTCCTTGGCTCTTCCATATTTTCAAAATTATAATGTTCACCAAGATTGTAAAATACCATACTCATAACGGATTACACCAGCATCCCTTCACTTAATGCCACTAGAGTTTTCTTGACCAGACATACATGTAAGTGCCACATATCTTTATGAAAGAAGGTATAAATAACTAACAAAATCATATATAAACAGACCAATAATAACCTTTAGGGGGAAAATGGCAGGCATTAAAATTAGCAATAATAATTGAGCCTTAACCCAAGATGTCCAAAGTATTCTATACCTCAAAATAGGACCCAAATGGTACATCATGTGCCTGTTGGACGGTTTCAAACACCTACACAAATAGGCAACACTGCTTTAGAAATCAGAAATGGCAAGAAATAAATATATATAGGAGGTTTAGGAGGAAAAAGAAGGAAAGGACTTTCATAGTTAAAGTAATTAGACTGCAGAAGGTATTGGCAACACAGTTATCATTATCCTTTTTTTTTTTTTTTTTGGGACTTCACACTAACAAGATGAAAGCAATCGCACCAATTTTTTCTTGTCTGGCGATAGAACAACATGTTGCCACTCTGTCATGGCAGTGTCTGGAGGGCACATAGGACTGTTACAAAGGGTTCTGAAGGTTATCTCTCTGACCTGACCATCGTATTCATCTGCTGTATGCCACTGTCCCATCTGGATACAGTATATGCAGAGAGAAATACGACCTCAATTAAGGATTAATTGCTTGTCAAAAGTTTAAATCCAAACACACGTATAATGTTTAAGCATAACATGGCAAATGATTTGGCCAGAACTCGGCAATCTGAAAATTCCATGTTCAAATAGCACCAGTTCATCAAATCAGCCCACCGCAAAAAAGAATTTTTACAGTAACCAACAAATAGTCTTCTTCACACATAAATCAAGATTTAACAAGGTCTTTTCCTAATCAAGTAAGACAGCAATCATATTGCTAGAGCAACTACGTCATTCCATGTTCTGAATTATCAACTATGGTGAAAGAAGCCAAGTCAGGTTAGGAAGAACTAAAAAGCACTAGCAATCAACAACGTACAACTTCCAAACTATAAAATGTAAAAAGCACTGGATAACCACACTGTAAAATTTCCAAATCATGCACAGAAACCGAGATTAACAACTTCAGACTATCTCATTTTTAATGACAGAAGAATTTATCAAGGACAAGAAGAAAACAAGCATGAAAGGAAGATAAAAAATTCTCTGGAACAATCAGAAGAGCAGAACAAGGGTAACCAAGCAGGAAACATTTACTTCAAAAAGCTTTCCCAACCCCCACAAGAGATGAGAGGAAAGAAAATGCTGAGTTGAAACTCCGGCATTAGGTTCCACCAACAAGCCTGAAAACCTTGGAAAGAAATCACACTTCCAAAGGACCTCAAAACACCTCCATTATCCCATTAAAAAAAAAGTCCGGAACAGGGTAAACCAACCCATTGTCAATAGTCGGCCAAAACGAAACCCAAAAAAAAAAAAGAAAGACCCCCAGCTGCTTGAAAATTCGGATAAGCTAATTCAAAAGCTGCCATGCGACCCCACAAACATGCAGGAAAAGATTGGCATTAATGAGGAAAATCACATTTATGAAAGTAGTCACAAATTAGACGAGCAGTGACTTGAGTGTTCCTCAGGATAGAGCTGCTTCGGCAACATATTATGCTAATGAAGAGGTGGTGCACAAACCACGACTGGTTCTAGAAATGTGTCACAAACGGGTTGGCTTGGAAATGGAAAAGAAAATTTTACTACTGCCATAAGAGAAGGCTAGATTAAAGATACTAACTGCTTCGATGAAACAAGGTTTGATCCGTATGCCTTTGCTCTTGTACCTCTTTACAGTGTCATATCCTTAAATAATGCCATCATTTTAACCAACCACTTACAACTTTCCTCCTCAAACACATTTCCTTCTTAACCAAGATCAAACCCTCAGCCCCATCTCCCCACTAGAAGCCTGAAATTGCAAGCATCTGGTGGATATTGTCAATATTTCGGGCATTAATTGGAGTTGTTTTTTTGTCATCTAATTTTTTATTTTCAGCCAGATCAGTTATTTATTCTGTTTTTTTTATTATCTTTTATTTGGTTCCATGATTTTGGCAAGATTCTCGGGAGTGGCTGGCACGCAGCTAAACCTAGTCTCTCCTACATGTAACATGATCTGTGTCAAATAAAAAATAAGATCTTCTGCCTCTAAAAGCTCTGGCTTCTATCATTAGTCCAACACAAAACTTAAACTATGAACTTTCATGTAAACACATTACAAGCTTCCAGTGACGAATCCTCAAGCATGTTACCAGAAATATTCTGGCTGAAGCTTTTTTACTAGTATTGTCAAATTTTTTATTTCCAGTCATACTAATTTTTTTTATATTCACAAAAGCAAACATGCTTTCATAATCCCTAAAGATTAATATCTATACTTAAGGAGTAAGTTTATTGCAAGTATCTAAGCACATTTTCCTCAGATGAATTTCAATTCTACTCAATTTTTGTGAATCCAGTCCAAAAAATATGGGCTTGTAACATAAGAAATTATCTGGTGTGCATCACAATGATGCTAAGATTTAAAATATTCCTGAGCGCAAATGATTTGCATTCTGCATCTAACCTTGCCTTCTACAGGAAGAGGACCTACAGGTTCTGGCATTCTCAGACCAACACTAGTTAGGTAGCATGCAATCAATAAACAGTCATTCACCACATAGAAGCTAAGTTTGTGATTAAGTAATTTACTTCATCTTTGATATAACTAGAATCAACAATGTCCAAAAGGGTCCACAGTAAGCAATCTAGAAAAACTCACCACTAGATTAGTATCCTTTCGTACTGAACGATACTCGCTTGTAAATTTTGAATCATTGTTAAATAACAAGTTAAAGAACTGCTCAGCCTTGGAAGGGAAAACATCCTGGAGAAGCATATCAATTATATCCCAATGTTTACAATGACAAACAAATTCCTGGAGATAAAAGTGGAAAATTGCTTACATTATATATACCAACTAAAGCCTCTTCTTTGACAAAAGGTTGAGACGTTCCAGTTTTTCCCATTTTTTCTTCAGGAACCTTATCTGGTATCTTATTTCCCCTAACAGAACTGCTATGTGCACGCAATTCTGACTCTGCATTTTCCTACACAATGGCAAAATAATCACATGAAGCATCCAATCAATTCAGAATCCATATAAAACACATTTTGTTTTAATGTATCCAGATTAAATTCTCCACCCATCTCTATCTCTTGTGTTCTTTGTTTTAGCTTATCAGTGACTGCAAGTAATGGCTATCTATAGTAGAAATGGAATATTATGACAAACCATTTTTATTGAACACAGGACGGGAAGCTTCTTCATCAGTCACAAATTCAAACTTTTTGGGGTAAAAGGTCACAAAATCAATTATGGATGTCTGGGAGAAATATCAAAGGCACAAAAAAAAAAAAGGCAGTTAGCTAAACAGTTCTAAACTTAGTACATATTCCAACTTCACTGCATTTAAAGGTCTACCTTTACTGAATTCTCATTTTACATACTGAATCTTCTTTCCTACCAAGAATAGTAATAATAAAAAATTTTGACTGTGTCATGCCTTCAGATGTACCTCTATTCACTTCAAACTCTAACGGATTGTGGGAGAACATAAATAATTAGTCGCAATATGTAAGATCATAAAAGGAAAGTTAATCCATTTCAACAGTCACAGACAAAACTATTTATCAAGGGGAGCTGAAGTTTAATTTTTTTATTTTCCAAAAAAAAAAAAGTAGCTCCCCCAATTTCAATAATCAAGAAGGATTATTTGCCAAAATTAATGCATAAAATTGCAAGTTTCTGAACGTATATTATCAAACCATGTAACATGGCAAAAGAGTGTGATTAACATTTTTGATTCTCTACTACTTTCTATTCGAAAGAGAGAGAAATCAGGTATTTAAGCTTATATATTTAATGTACTTTTATTCAATCAAATAAGAACAAGTGGATTTTAAATTTAAAACTATTGAGTTAGTCTTGATTAGATATAGGACAGAAAATGTTTAAGATGATCAACTTCAAATTTGATTGAAAAAAAAGGACCTTAAATATATTAACTTAAGAAAGAAGTGTGCATACTCCAAAATAGTTATTTTATATAAGAGATTAAGAACATGAAATGGAGATGGAGCAACCTTCTTCTCAGCTTCCAGCATTTCACGGAAAGTCTTTGCTGCACGTTGTAAATTTCTAAATGTATGATTCCTATTCCAAAATGATGCAAATTTGTATCTTACTCTGCCTGAAACAAAGAAGCGAAACTAGTAATATCATCTAAAAGGGCAGCCATTCGCTAAAAGAATTTTGCCAAAACATTCTCATTGGTATTATGTGAAAGAAAGGTTTTAAGATAAAATGCCCGGTAATATAACAAGATGTCCATCATTGTCTGAGCAAGAGTCATGAACAAAGGATAGAAAATCCTGTACTAAAACAAATGGCATATTTCAGATACTATAAATATCCATCACAGAGCCAAAAGATCAGGACTGAATTTTAATTAAACAACTGCACAATAAAATAATTAATATTCCTTCATTGTGCAAGAAAAAACATTAAAGGCAAACTATTTCAACTAATTACTAACCATCAGGACTTCCCAAAGGAGGCACACCATGTCCACCCGCACCCATACGAAGAATAATTGTTATAGAAGGATTAATAAATGCATGCTGACTCCTTCGAATCTTCCAAAAACCAAAATAATTCCAGTGGATGTAAGTTCATATGCATGGGGAAGCAAAAATAACAAAAGAATAGAAAGAGAAACTTTACCTCATCTATATCCTCAAATGGAATAACCACCTGGCAGATGTTAAAAACACCCATATAAGTAAAATATAAATGGGTTCTAATAGCAAAAAAAGAACCATATAACATCAGCTTCGAGTAATTAACAACAATAGATTGACTGCATTGGCAAAGGAAAAAAGGTTGCATATAATAAACTTGTATATCAAACTTCAGGTTCGAACAACAAAAAATTATAGATCCAGGCAACCCAACCCGATCACCTGGACTCAGGCTTTTCAATGTGGCAATATCTTCTCCCCAGTCACCTCAACTACATTCAAGCAATCCCAATACTCATAATATGTGATGCATAAAGCAAAATGAGAACTAAATTACACTGCCAGAGAAATCCCACGATTTTTCTGTCTTCATTTTCAATCAAAGAGATTTTTTTTTTTTTTTTTTACAGCAAACTTTAACCCTTTAACTTGACTAGTGGAACGACTTTTCTTCCTATTCAGTACCTTAAACGGGAAATCTATCTTGGTAATTTTAATTAAGAACTATTATCGAAAAGAAGTGTTAAAATGAATCTAACAATGTCTTGGTGATAAAGCAGAAAGACTTATTTTATGAGCAATGACATATCATTATAATCTTCACTTAATCTTAGACAGATCCGGTGGATAAGCTGACCTTCATTTGCTTGGAGAACACATTAGAATGGAAGCAAATATGCCACGCTGAGACATACATACGACCATGATACAAAAATGACCTCTCAAGTGCACAAGAGTAACTATGTTCAACAACCTGAAAAAGATAGCTTGTCCATTAGATTCACAAACATAACTGCCCGTGATGAAGAGGAGACAACATAGATGTGCACATACACATGTGCATATGACTTAAGACAAAAATAGAAAGGCAAAAATTTCACATCACTAATCCTTGATAAAATAAAACAAATTTAGTATAATTTCAGTAACCTCATCCGGAAGAAGATTAAATATTGTCTGGAGAGGCCCTGGCTTTTGATGAACAACCGTTGGCCCTTGCTTTTCTGTAGGCATCCTTCTTCGAGTGCTGACTCCGACATAGCCATTCATCCTATTAGTCAATTCATAAATAGTAGAACTAGACCAACTACAAAAGTAACATATGATATGACAATGATCACCGTACTAACATTCAGTCCAGTCATCAATTTCGAACTCAAGATATACATATGTATCTTAAAATGAGGCTCACCTGGAAGAATTTGCAGACAGTTTTCTTGTTTTGATGTGAAGGCAAACCTAAAAATCAATGAACATACTTGTGATGCTCTATGGAGGGCAATAAAATGCTAGGAGGTGAAATAAAACAAACCAAAGCCTATTAAAAGAAACAAGGTTATTAAAAAATTTGATATTACCTGCCCTGATGGGCTATCTAATGTATACCATACTGCACCAGTTTGACCTTCGCTTTCAACTGGAACAGTCACTGAACCTAGAACAGCACTTTTCCAAATAATATCCCAATCATATATGGTGATATTAATCTGCCATGTCAGCGGGAGAAGAAGTCAGTTTCAAGGAAACCAATATAACAGATTTAATCAGTAAATTAATTAGCATTTATTGACGGGAAGAAAGCATGTAAAACACCTCCTTTGTCGGTTATTAGTCAGGATGAATGGTCTAATACACACACACACGCACACACACATTTAATGACAACTTCGATCAGCCTCAGAATAAATATTATTTATAATTGAAGCAGGAAACCAAATTCCATAGAGTAACAAACAACTTAAATCATATTCTCACCCAGTAAACAATAAAGGCAAAAAATAATTAATTACAATGAGCCAATGAATTTGTAATAATTTAACTAAGAATAAGCCATTGAAATACATTGTCGGTGAGATCTAAGTCAATTCAAATATGAAGAGACGTAAGTATATGCACCATTAAAGGTGAAAAGTATACAGTTAAGAGGCAACTAAAGCTCTTTGGCCATGGAAATAGTCCAAAAATTCAGAAAACTTGCGCATTTACAAGAAGGAAAAATGAAAGGGGAAAACATATATGTTGAACAAGTCCTTAGAAGAAAAGTTTTATAATAATGAAACATATTCTGTGCTTAGCAGTAAAATTGATGTAGATCTGCTCAGATGAAGATAAATCCCACAGACTGCTGCAACTCCCCACAGCAGCTGCAAACACTTGGTACTCCTATTCCATATCAAATAGATTACAAAAGCACATCAATTAGATTACAAAGGTACCTGGACAGGAAGTTCATCAACAGAGAAATTGAATCCCTCACCCCACATAGGATTTCTTGAACCAGGAACCATGGAACTGCATGGTAATAGAACAGATTATTAGGCCAGATGAACTATGTGGTTCATTCTATATATAATTTGATCAATAAGACCATGCCGCTGGCTTGGAAAGAACATAAAACCACCATGCTAAGCTTCAGTCAGCCTCTTATTATGCATGCAAATATTTTTAGATCATTCTAATACACAAAAATCAAATTAGTAATTCACCCTCACGCAACTTCATATACATCAATTGATTCACACGAGTTTTGTGTGCATTTGACTTTAATATCTCCTGCATTAGGAGTTAGTAACGTATTATAGATATATACTGTATTAATCCATAAAGCAAGGCCTAAAGTTTCTCCCGGTAAGGTCAACTGTCAATTTACAGAAGTCAAATAAAATTGGGCAAAGTAACCTATCACTTGCTTACTGTAAGGAAAGCAACAAAAAAAGAAATACAAGGTTGATAAAGGTAGAATATTATAAGCCTCAAATTAAACAAGCAAGTGGGAAAAATAATCTAAAACTCTCTGCACAAACCAGTTCGCCACATAAAATCAAAATCCAAAATTGGTTAAACTTACGCCCAGTCAAATAAAAATACAAGATCTGCAAGCTATTACGGCAGCCAAGAAACTTTCAAATGAATTCTCTATCGCAAAACGTTTTAGAAATACCTTCCCTTATAGTCTTTGCTTTATCCGATGCCAAGAGTATTACTGTAGAAACTACTTTTAGAAACATTGCGTCTTCTTAAGCAAACACCTACTAATGTAAATCTAAATTCAATCCACCAAACTTAGCAGCAGCCTAAACATGTTCCACATCATGAACACTTGCCAAAATGAAGTATCCATATAGTTATCCAAACCTGAAGCGCTTCTCATTGCCACATGTGATGATAGCATAAGGATCTGACGTGCCATTTAAATTTGCACCAATAAGATTCTTAGCAGCCAAAAGTTCCAACTGCAGACAGAATTTAAGCAGACAGACAAAATCAATATATACCACCTCGCGATATTACGTAAGTCTTAAAGGAGGTTTTCTTCTTGACAGCAGGGCTAATAAATGATATACCTTAATCAAATATGCCGAATTGGTCTGAGAATCTCCTCTAAACTGGACCATCTACAAAATAAGTGCAGAACTGCATGTCAACGAGTTAAATATTACTCGTTGAAGCGACTAAAGCGAAAGTATGAATAATCAAATTATACAAACAAGCTGGATTTTCAGTCTGAACTGGTGAGAACAGAAACCGAACTGTCGACAAATACTTACGGTCATAACCTCCCATAACTAATTTGTCCAACGAATTGATAAATGATTGTGGTCCATTATTCATGGTCATAACAAATTCATCTCAGTCATCCTCTTAAGTTTATGGTTTCTTGAAAAAACCAATTTTAGATTAAAAAAAAGGCTATAGCAACAGAAAAAAATCTCTCATAAATATGTTCAAAGGCCATCAGAGATGTAAATTAAAAAATTACATCTTGCGTTGTTTTAAGATAAGAAGAAAATTTCAGTAAGGTGGTTCTTTAAAACTTGATATTTGATTATCACCGATAATAAATCGATCAATGAACTTGCGGGGTTATGCTCGAATTCTGAAAATAACCTTGTCTTTGTCGTCAGAAGCATCCGCGGAATTGTCAACAAGTACTCGATCAACATCCAAGTCTCCAGTTCTGTACGTGAAAAACCAATAGGCGATTATCACAAACATGGAGGTGGCCACTGTGACTTTGACCTCCCACAAAGACGGAACCAGGAAATCCAGGGCCAAATCCATCATATGGGGGCTCATAATCTCACAATGGAGATGACTGATCAAGAACTGCAGGGTTTCAGCGGTGCACTTCTAGGGTTTAGGGGATTTGGGAAGGCCATGCCGGATTGCTGAAGTTGAAGAGGGCCAGAAACCGAACGAGGAAGAGAGTCAAAGTTGGACCGTTGAAGCGCGAGAGTGCGTCAAAGAGCGGCATTTGCTAAATTACACCCAGCGTTCATATTAATAGATTCTTGTCTTCTCGTATAAACGTTGAAACAGCATGTTTTAATACGTAGCATTTATCTTAACCTTTTTTGGGTGGACTGTGTCTTAACATTTTTCTAGCATAATATTTGATATCTAATACTTCTCTTGTTCTAAATATAAAACCTTTATTATAAGGATATAAGAATCTTATATTTAAAATCGGAGGAATATTATTCCATTGGATTTGAAAAAATATTATTAATATTAATTAGCAGCAGCACTCCTCCTGACATGATTTTTTCGTTTATAAAATTCAAATCTTTGAGGTGATCGACAATTAAACTCGCTTTACTCAGCAATTAGTTTATCTCCAATAAATGAGTATGAAGCTCGATGAATAAATCACGCTATTCACTACTCACAAAGTTAGAATAATACTCTTCTGGTAAGGATCTTATATTTAGGATCGGAGGTGTAAGAGAATTTTTAAAAAGAAAATCATTATTATTTTTATAGTGTTAGCAAAACTCGTGAGACTCAATGTCAACTTTTATGAGCATTATCGACAGTATAGAAAAAAATATATTGAGTTTGAAACGTTGCAATAAAAGCTAATGACTATGTCTAGTTTACGGTAATTTTTACGCATATGTTCTGACTGTTTTATGTGTTTGGATGAAACCAAACCGTGGTTTGGAAAAGTGATTCTGGAGAATAGATTCTGGGGAAAATAAATTCTGTGAAGAATAAATTTTGTAAAAAAGTGATTCTGAGAAGTGAGAGTGTTTGGATAGTTGTTATCAGAAGCACTTTTTATATATACAAATTACTAAAAAAAAGACATAAGTTAATATGATAATTACAGAAAAAATAGATTTTATGATATATTTTAATTTGAAGGAATAAAATTGTTAATAATATGTTTTTTACCAACATAATTAATAATACATAAGATAATATAATTAATAAATAATTAATGTGTATATATATTTATAAAATATAAGATTAAATATATTTATAAAAAATATGTTTATAAAAAAAATAACAAGATACATATCATATAGGCTCTCACATTCTTCCTTTTTTTCCAAAAGCAAAAAAATTTTGCTTTTTCCAAAACCATGGTTTTGGAGTCAAAACCATGGTTTTGGTTTTTGGAAGGGCTGTTTGGGTAGATTATTCCCTAAACCATGGTTTGGGGTGTCACCCAAACACACCCTTAATATAAAAGCTAGTTTGATATTTAATGTGGTTCTGAATATAAAATTCTAATTCACTTTATTTTTTATATTTATTTTTTCTTTCAGAGTAGTCTTTAAAATGGTACATATTAAATATTTTATTGCATATAGTTATACCTAATATACATGATTACCAGGATATTCTAGAAAAAATAACACATATTTATTACAAATAACTAATTTAACTAATTTTTTTAATCTATTCAAATAAGTTAATTAGCTTTTTTTATTAAAAACTGGAGGTAATGTTTAAAAAAAATTGGAAATAAATTTCAGGATTTAGTTTTTTTTTAACCTGAATTTTCACGAGTTAGTTGAAAACATAGATTAAAGTTTTTTTTTTTAAAAAAAAAGAAGTTGAAGTTTGCATGTTGGGGCTTCGAGATGATGATGAAGCTACATGCGAAGGTGTGGCTGATGGTAGTGACAATTGAGTTGAAGACGTTGTTGACTGAAGGAATAGGGATATCAACCAAGCATGATTATTGAGATGGTAAGTATTCCAGAAGCTTTAATCCCCTTTTATGGGGATGCGGTAACGAAAATGCTTCTCAAACTCTCCAGAAGCGATCTATGATACGTCAAAGGCCGAGGATAAAAATCACCGTGTGTTCTGTTACCATACAGATGAGGATATAAAAAAAAACCTTTTTATGCACGAGCAGGGAATAACTCGTGAAAATACTTTTAGAAAAAGCTAACACTGGTTCCAACTAGCTTGCACGGCGTGCTCATAATATGAACATAAAGACGAAGGTTATAATGAATTCACCAATAAAATGCGCTGACATTACGAGCGCGTGACATGGCTAGTGAGATGTTTGGTTCTGTAATGTGATCTGTCTCTCGCCGTTCATTTGCATTCCAATAGGTGCTTTGATCGAATAGACAAGTGAGTGAGAATTTATGACAATGCCAATCTAATGTGAAACCCGCAGCAACAATACATTATATAGACGGGAAAGTGATGACAATCAGGTCCGTTATTTATAGACCAATAACGTGCAAATTCACTGAATTTACAAAAAAGAAAAAGGCATAAATCTCAATGTTCACTGGCTTGATGGGCGAAAATGTGTAGGTAATTAGGGCCTTGCAGCTCATCAGCAATTGTTTTAGCATCACCCTTGTCGGAGTAAATAACTAAATAATTTTTTTATTTTTTTGGTTTAATAGTTGGACCGTTGTTGAACCAGTTATAAATAACTTAATATCTTTAAAAGAATATGTGCTTAAAATTTTAAAAAATTATCGTCCATAATAATAAAATAGTGAATTGAATTAAAAAATAGTACTCCTCCTCTCTTTAATATAAAACACATTTAACTAATTTGATTAAATTAAGGAAGTTAGGTAAGTTAGTTAATTATAAGAAATGTGACACATTTTTCCTAAAACACCATGATCACAATACTTCATCTCCCTCTTTTACTTGATTATGGTCGAGGAAGAATCTATAAGGATAATTTAGAGAAAATGATAAATATGAAAAATTGGTCTTATATTTAGGAACAAAACCAACTCAACAATTGGGTCATATATTAAGGACCGAAGGAGTATATAATAAAATGTAGTATCCATCGATATTTTATCACATTCATTTAAAACGTATATACTTATTTCACAGCTTATAATTATAATTTAAGAGTGCATGAGTACATGCATATGTCTAGTATATTTGTTACTTTTGCTCCCTTTTCCTGTGGTTATGTGGTATAAATAAGTGAAAATTATGGCTTAGAAATATCAATTAAATTTTTTAAAAATTTTAAAAGGTAAAAAAAAAAAATGCAAACAGCTCAACTAGTCCAACTGTCAGTTCTATTAATTTTAACGAGTTTAGAGCTGGTTCATCTGGCTCTTAAACTATTCCTTAGTTTTTCTCTTGTGTTTATACTACTAGACAATAATTTGGTTCCATATTCAGCTCAATTGTTTTGGTTCTTAAAATTTTAAATGAAATATAGGCCTGAGAAAAGTGATATTTTCAATGTATATTGAAGCTTCGAATCTCATTAAAAACAAGTTCGTTATGAAGGAGATGAAAATTTTCTATTGAAAGATTGGATTGTTACAACTAATTATAAATTTGGATTTAGAAAACATATTGAGCGCACACACTGATCAAGAAGACGGGCTCATTAAATCCTTGTTGATTTTATGGCTTTACGTGAACCTCCCATATTCCGTATTCATGATCAGGATGTTTGTAACGATTTAATGCAGCATTTGAATTATTTAACAATAATACCTGGCAAAATATTTTTAATAATAATAATATTTCTAAATATAAGGAAGGGAAGGAAGGAGCCGGCGCGCGTGAAAATAAATTGCGGGAAGTTAAATTGCCTTCTTAAATCTCAGGTCTGCTGCGCGGTGCTGCGCCTCGCGAGTCAACTAGGTTTATGCATTATAACGTTAACTTCGCATTTCGTCCTTCCCGCCGCCAACACCGACCATGCTCACCTCTCGGTTCTCACTCACTCCACACCCCTCACCCCTCACCCAGGTACTCCTCTCCTTCCTCTCTGGTTCTTCTCTAAATCTTCTCATTACTCAATACGCATGCACGTAACAATTCCCGCTGCTCCAGCTTTTTATTTCTCCAGTATCACATTGCCCGCAAAAAAAGGAGAAAGAGAAAAAAAAAAACTCTTTCCATGTCTCTGTTTCACTATGCGTTGCTCGTTTTCTTCTAATTTCGTCTTCATTCACTCAATTTTTTTGTTTTACGTTTCAACTTTGTAACTGCATGCAGTCATGTCCAATTTCTATGCTGTCTTTAACTAACTTAATTTGATCTTCCCTCCCTTTGTTTTGCCTCTAAATATGTTCGGCGATATTAGCTGTTTTGAGGCTTTCGTTCTTGGTATGCACTAGTGAACTTATGATTAATTATGTGTACTAAGTTTTCAATGTGTCGTTTATAATCACTTGACACTTCATTGTCCTGATTTATCGAGGATAGTTTCTCTCACGAGAACGTATTTTTTCTCCTAACATTTTCCCTCTTCCATCTTGCTTGCAAAGTACAATTTTGGTGCCGTAATTCTTAGTTGTTAATTGTTTTGACCCAACCTGGCTTGGCTTTGCATTTTGATGTTGAAGTAGGTCTTCAAACTACGAAACAGTTCCACAGCGTTTATTCCTTACTTGCTCTTAATTCTGGTTCTTCTTCTTCTCTTTTTTATATTGTTATTGATACATCCACACTTTTGAATTATAGTCGTTAAAGTTTCTTACATGATTGTTCCCCACACCCCCCCGGGGGGGGTGGATTCACATCTTGGCATGGGTTAAATGCCTCAGATTTCTTTGAAGCCAATGTAAACGTGCTATTAATGAGATTGGTTGATTTTATTCATGACCCTGAACATTCTGAATTTGATCAGGCTAACTTTATAGGAGTGTCTCCTAGATGTTAATGGTAAAACGGAGCTTAGTTTGTAAAAGACAATCTCATGGGCCCTGCTCGTCCAATTTCAGACAAGGACAAAGGGAGCAAACCAAACTTTGCTTTGAAAGTTGCAGCAGCAAAGGGCAAGGTGGAAGAAGAAGGTATGAGTTGTGCGAGTCACTCTGAGAAGCCCATTGTTAAGGCGGAGGCCTTTCTGGATGAACCAATTAAAAGTACCAAGGTCCCTGAAGACATGGAGGTTGATGTAGTAAGCTGGACAAATAAAGTTGATTTTGCATCAAATAAAAATAATGACCCTGATGCAACTGAATACTCAAGTTCATTTGCTGACACCATGTCAGACCCTGAAACTAGTTCTAGACTGAGTGAAGCTGAAGTGGAGTCAGAGCTCTTAGGTGACAGAGGCTTGTCATGCGCCTTTGATGCTTTTGGCTCTGCTTTTCCAATGAGGTAATAAAGTGCCTTGACTGATCATAGATTTAGCACTTGCTATCTAATGTCTAGACAGAGACGAATTCACATGCATTTGCTGTCCACTGATTCAAGTTTCTAATAAATCCATATTATGCACTCAGATGTTCAAATTAGAAGGTTGATGGGTATAATGTATTTATAACAATTGAAAACTTAACTATTTACAATTACAACCTTAAAAGATGTTAAATGATACAAAATTGAAAGGAAAATTCAGCTGTGATTAGAATAGATTGCATGCCAGTGTCTTTGCTTGAAGGATAGTTTCAAATGCTTTTTACCTCTCTTGAAATCCTTAGATAATGCATATACATTCATGTATACCAAAAAGCCATATTCTTGTTTATTATTTACTTGTTAGTTCTAGTTGCTAATTGAAAGTCTTGTTTGAGGAATTTATGGCTTTGCAACCTGTAAATGCTGATATTGTTGTATGTAGCATTATCATTACTTTTGTTCTTTGTCATCATTTGTGCCTTCTACAGATACCATTTTCTTCTGGCTCCATTAGCTTATCCTAAAGGGTATACCTATCATTTTGGGAATTTATGGTGAATAGTAGGTGTCTTTTTTTTTTTTTTTGGTAACTTGATTCCATTATCCCAAGCATTTTATATTCTTTTCTGATGTATTTTGTATATGCAATTATTATTATTAGATTTTTTTTTTCATATTAACTTCCTGTACAACCATAGGAAGAAGAAGCTAACAGATCATTGGAGGAACTTTATACGGCCTTTGATGTGGCGCTGTAAATGGACAGAACTAAGAATTAAAGAAATGGAGTCACAGGCATTAAAGTACAGCAAAGAGCTTGCGGAATTCGATAACAGGAAATGTAAGGCACCTGATCAATTAACTTTAGAAGAAATTGGTTCAAAATCACTGCCATTTTCAAGTCCCTTGTGCAAAAGTAAGGCCAAAAAGAGAAGGAAAAGAAAGAAAATTGAAGACACAATTGATATAGGATCCTATATGTCACGTCATTATCTTTTCTCTTACCTTGGTATGAACTTCTTTTGTACTCATCTTTCCTGATTTTCTTGCCTTTCCTTTTTGATAACCAACTACTTGTTCTCACTTGAGATAGTGTATGACATTTTTTCTTTCTCACATACTGTAGATAATAAGAAGTCTGACCCAGATAGTAGCTTGGCTGATGATTTTGGCAATTCAGGTTAGAGATTCCGCTTCATTCTGTTCCCTCTCTAATGCATGCTAAGTCTCCTGTTAACATTAATCTCTTTTGCATTGCTTTTTTAAGTGGAAAAAGAGAAGCATAAACGGAACTGTTGGTTTAAAAGTCAGCTGCATTATGTTGGAAGTTTGTATATGTTGACTTTCTTTTTCTTCCTTTTCTCTTTCTCTTTTGAGAGGAGGGTTGCAGAAAAAGAGAAATCTTCCAGGTTATTCATCACTGCCAATCATGACCTGCCAAGTGCCTTACATTATGAATGCTGCATTATCACATTTGATATGCATCTTAAGTAGATGACTGATTATCTTCCTATTCTCTGGGCAGTGATTGCAGACCCACATACCGATTTGACTGACAGATTTGGGATTAATGATGATCAATCTTTCTTTGAGTTTACCGATGGTGATGGTTCCTTGGAGCAGCTCCTTTGGACAATTGAAAGCGTGCATTCTAGGGTCCACAAGCTGAAGAGTCAAGTTGACACAATCATGTCCAAAAATGCTATGAAGTTTTCTTCAGAGAATTTGAGCCTTCTACCCCATGGTGATGCACAGACCAGCTCTGCTCATAGTCCTGCATTCTCTGCTGGGAATGGAGACACGGTGTCAGCAGGCGCTATTTGTAATTCAGCTCAGCATGCACCTGAGTTTGATTTTGGAGATTTGGTTATGCCTGATAGTGCTGTCTCGAGTTATGGAGAAGCCACAACTATTCCTGATATAATTGAGAGCACAGTGGGATTATTGTCTGCTGCAGATGTCACCCTCCCTCAGCCCCAGACCATGGACTCATGTGAAGATGTAAGTCTCAACCTCTGGATAACGATTATTTGATTATTTTTGTCTGTTCCCGTCAGATTATGACCCTAAAGTTGTTTTCTGTGCCTGAATGCCATCTATTTTGATTTTTTTAACGTGTAAAAAAAGTTATATGATAATGACAAAAAGCATCTCGTTACATGGTAATCATGTTCATCTGCATCAACAACTCTCCGTGTAAACAGATATGTGATTTTTTTTATTTTTTATTTTTGTATTTAGGCCAGAAGCTGATTATAAGCTAAAACCAAAGTCCCTCGCCACACAAAATCTCCATGGACTAATGACTTTTTATATTTTTTTTGCCTTTTTGGGCTTCCTTATAATAATTATGACATTGGAATTAGGGTGTGGGTGTGCTAATATTGCACAGTTTCCTCATTTTAAAGTTAGGCTAGATATTTATTTAAGGTTGTGACCTAAATGCAATTACCTTGCCTGGACATAAGTAAGCCCCTAAAACTCAGGACCAAAGAAGAGTGAATAATGAATGATTAGTTGCACTTCTGTGTATTCTTTCAAGCCATCATAAATATTTGTTAGTTCTGGAAGGTTCATCGTCAGTAAATTATTGTGTCCTTAGAATTTGTTTTGTTTCTTTACGTCTAGGTAATGGCTCTTGATCTTTAAGCATATCCATAATGCAGTTAGTTGCTTTTCCTGGCTTTGTGTATAAAATCTAGAATGTATTAAGAATGTGTTGCTTAAAATAATGGGAGTTGTAGATTGAAGGCTTGCGATCACATTTGAAAATGCTTCATTTTGACGTTGTTGGTTGCAGATGGTAGACAGCGTGTTGATACACAATGAAGCAGCTGAAGCAGAGGAGCACGCCTTTAAAAGTGTAAATTACAATCCCACTGAGAAGCATCCGGAGGCAGGGAAAGGTGATCAGGAAAGTGCACACACTGCTTCTATCCCAGCGACGGAATCTAATATAGCACTGAAGTCTGCTTTGCCTCACTCTCAGGAGCAATCAACGCTCAAATCTTGTTTGTATAAAGACGTGCATTTTCCCAATTTTAAAAGGAAACGTGGGGAGCGCAAAGCTGGATCTGGTGGTTGGAGCAAGAAAAGCTCAGGGGAACCTGATAGCCAATGAGATAGAGTAGTGAGTTCATAAAAGCTAAAGTAGGGGCTAAATGTATTACTACTTCTCGAGGATCAGACTGCCTTTTCATTCAACTTAGTTTCTGCACTCGTCCTTGTAAACAAGAAAGTATGTGTAAGTGCGAGTCTCCTTCAAGCAGACTATCCTGATAATACTATTGTTTGTCAGTTACGATGAACCTCAAAGAAAGAACAATAGCAAACGAGAAATCTAATTTATTAGTCATTTGTTTATCGTGCATTTAGCAAAGGCTGGAATTAGGCCTTCTCGACGAGGCACTAAAACCCAGAGGATTCAGAAAATGAAATTAGAATTCAATGCCCAAAAAAAGGTGATATAAATGAATCACTATGAATGGCACAACGCGGGTTGTCCTAAAATGATTGATGGGAATGGGATCAGAGATTGCACGTGTTAAGTCCATATTTGCATGTGAATGCGTGGTTCGGCAAGCACGCATCATCATATCATTTTGCATGGCGGATCCAGAATGGAACCAGTTTTGGTACTCATCCATTTGATGAGCATCATAAGGTTATCAGATCTGAACTGTCCATATCTCACTTGGGTGGTTCAGATTTGATTTGTTTTTTATTTTTATTTATTCAAAATAATTATTTTAATATGTATAGAATCTAAAATAGTGATTATCTCTTAACTATCATTCTTTCAAAAATAGTTTATTCTATTTAAAAATAATTAATTAAAGATTTTAAATCTGGATCGTTCAAATAAGGTATACACGATTCAAATCTGATGAGTTTATGAGATGAGCACCGAAACTAGTTCCCTTCTAATTGGTTACTCTGCTCCCTCGATTTTCTCGGGTGGCTCCTGCTGACAAGAAACAATGCTATGTTTCAGTTGAAAACTGAGAACATTCCCTTTCCGGTTAGACATTTATACTTGGGTTTCGTATATTTTGCGTCTATTTACCAATCACTCATAATCCCATCTGTTCTTTCTTCCCCCCACATAATATGTGTTCTGTGAACACGCGCGCTCGCGCACATTTTTGTCGAAAGTCCTCCGAGCGAAATTGCAGACGCCATATCATTGTAGCAAGCACCGTCTATTTCTTTCTCCTTTTGATTGGAAGCTCTTCGTTCCTATCCAAAGTCACTAGAATAATTTCTATGGTCTACAATGTACAAAAAGCAAAAAGATGATGACAAATATTCTTTTTGACTCTCCCTGCCATCCATTGGGGGGGGGGGGAGAAAAAGGACTGGTTTAGGGATTAGTGAAGCCAATTCTAATTATAGCCCTGCTAGTGTCAGTCCTCGAATAAGTCCTACTCGTAAGCTTTTAATCAAATTTTTATGTACGACGGAAAATTGAGCCCACAACAACCTCTGGACAGCGACAAATGAGGGAAGGAGACAGAGTTACCAACAAAGCCATCCTTGGCGTTCAATATTAAATTAATTTCATGAGAAACTGTTGCATATGAATGAAGAATGAATACTAACTTCATTTGGGAATTTTTCTCCTTGAAAGAAAATAAAGAGGTACACTTTTGTTTGTTTGGGAGGGCCCGGGTGATGATACGCAGGAAAAGGTGGTGGAGCTTGTGAAATAATTGCACAGCACGGGTTCACACTAATGGGAAGGGAATTAAATCATTCCTTGTGCATAAGAGCGTTGTTGAAATAGTGACATCCACATGAAAGGAGGAAATTAAATAAGAATTTGTTAGTGTTGGCGAAGAGAGTTATAACATGTAAAAGAGCAGAGTGGCAGTTTAGGTACTTATGATATTTATGTCATAAAGGCAGGCCAAGCATGTCTCAAACCAATTAATGCCCTCAGTGACCTGCTCTTGCCGCAATCATAAAGACTTAGGGTCTAAATATGATTGAGGCTAACTCCACATGCTTTTCCATGCTCCAGAAAGTAATGAATTCAATAAAGGCGTGGTGCGGGGGGGCACCCTGGTAATTACATTAAAAGCAGTATGGTAGTGACATTTTTACTTTGGCTTTGAAATTTCAAATCCCTGTCTTTCTCTCTCTAAATCCGAAGGAATCATGGCAGCCAAAGCAAAAGGAGGAGGAGGATTACAATAAAGAATGGAGGCAAAAGAAAAGAAGCACATTGCCAACCCCATCTTGGGATCACAGATTGGAGCAGAAGGCTCTTCAGTTGTGCGTAAAACCCAGATGAAACTCCTTTCCTCTCTTTCTCCACCCTTCTCATACTTGTATCTGTCTTTGTTCATGCAAGATCCCAAGAACCACGAATCCAACACAAGGTATGCTCTGTCTCTATTCCTCTTTCTCTTTCATGGAACAACCACGCATCCACATAAAAATTTTGGACATACATGGTTTGAAATGTAGAATCGCCATACTACTTAATGTCATCATCATGAGAATATTTACAATTATTAAGTATCCATCACGAACATCAACAGTTCAGTCTTGAAAGGGACAGAGCTTTACTTGGCTAATTCAGAAACAATTCATCAGACTTGTAAGGTCCCCCTCCTTGAATTAGCCTCGTTGTCGCGGGACTTGGACTGTTTGGTCTGTCAAAACTTGTCCGGCCGTGATTTTTCTTTCTTGTGTGCTACTCCAGAATATGGCAATTCTCGGTTTTTTAGGCTTTCTTAGGGTGCCCTGCTCTTGGGTGCTGCAAGTCATTTGAAAAGATTACCTGAATAAGGCATTAATGGTATTGGAGCAGTGACCGAACCAAAACTATTTTAAAGCAATAGATTGAACGATGTAGCTTCTGGAGCTGCATGGCCCATACAAGTAGGTTGCCGGAAATGAAACAGACTGGCATAAATTGGTTGTGGATTGCAGGAAGTCATGGTATCAAAGAGCAACAGGAATGGGGAGCCTGTGGAGATGGATTTCCAAGTCATTGGCCACAGAAATTCCCAGCGGGAAGGGGGGTGAAGGCAGCAGATCAAGTTGCAACTCGAGTAAGAACAGGCAGCAGCTAAGAAAATGCACATCTCTCAAGGTGGCAACCTCCTTCACAAGGGTATGCCTCTGTGCGCCCATCTCTTCCTACAACGAGGTCTTCAGAGCAGAGGTTCCCGCCAGGAGGAGCAACAGTTTTCCCAGAGCAAAACCATTACAGTCTCAAGAAAGAACAGTTGCCAGCGCCAGGCTGAGCACGGAGGGCAGAAGAGTTTTCAGGGGCAAATCATTGACTGACGATGTCCTCATGAGGAGATTTGTGATTGAAGAGGAAGCAATGATGCAAATCAGAAGAAGAAATCAAATGGAAGTGATTAGGAGGAGAAGTATGGTGAGGAGGCACAAGCTCGGCCCCAGTCCGCTTCGCAGGATGGTTTTGGCGGAGGCTCCCAAAGCTGATTCGTCGTTTTTCTTTTATCACTCCTTTTTTCTCTCACCTCTCCTTCATTTTAAATTTCCCTTCTGTGGACGCTTTTATACGCATCCCTCCTCATGAATGGCGACGCCCTTGATCAAAACTGAACTTCAAACAACTCCTTTTTCCCCAACTTGACAAGTCTGCCCAACTAACTGCTACTTCTTCTACACGTAATTTGCTTTGTAAGACACTCAGACTCGGGAGATCAAGGGCAGCGATTATTTAATTTGCAGCCGAGTTAGGCTGTTCGCACGACGCATTTGCTTTGTCATATATGCACTCACCCCCAACTATATTCTTATCCATCTTTGTCTCCGCCATCCTATTCGCATTTCCAAGCCAAGCAATACGCCCACATCATCTTATTTATAACTCCATTAACTTCGACTCTAAAATTCAGTTCAACAACTATTTTCTGCGTAATCAAATTGGCAGGATGGTGTTAAACAAGCCCGCTTTCTGAATCAATATGTTAATCCATTGATTGTTGTTTGATTATATTGCACTTGTAATTAAGATGACATATATGAGTTTGATAACCAATCATTACCCGAGAAAGTCATTTGTCATTTATGAAGACCGGTTAGAATTGTAGATGGGTAAACCAGAGTGATTTGGGCTGGTTATGCCTTGCTTTGACGCATAAAGTGAAAATATGGCGAGTAGCCGGATGGTACCAACATGAATCTGCCCATCTTTATCCTTACGCATTAAGGAGGCTTTTAAATAGCATCAGTTTAAACTATGAGGAGACATATATTTGTGGATAAATACACACACTACCTCTGACACTTAATATAAGAACTAGTTGATTAATTTGAATAGATTAAAAAAATTAGTTAGGTTAGTTATTTGTAATAAATAAGTATTTTTTTTAATCAAATGTATTGGTTAGAACTATTATTATTATAAGGACTACTTTAAAAAAAAAGAATAAATATAAAAGATAAAGTGGATTGGCGGTCTTATATTTGGGATTAAAATAAAAATCAAACGAGCTCTTATGTTAAGAGTTGGAGGTAGTATATGTATATATATTCTACTATAAAATTAGGAGGGATTATTATATTTGTAAAGTATCATGTTAAAAATTTAAGGTATTCTTGATCCTTCAAGGTGTAATTAATAAAGTTTTTTAAATTGAGGCATCCTAATTGAATATGAAAAGAATGTCTAGTTTTAAAAGCCATAAGTAAACTTAGTTAGAGTGTAAATTAATTTAAGATGTGTTATAATTTTGAGAAGTTAAAAAAAAATATATGAATGGGAGGAGATGGAAATGAAGGAAGGAGCAGGCGAAGTGACGAGAAAGCATGCGATATGGTTGAACGAAAATGTTGGATCACCTACCCATAAAACATGCTTCTGATGACAGCATTTTGGACAAATGGAAGCATTATATTAAAAAAAAAAAAAAAAAAAACTCGTTGGAGGAATCTCACAAATTCCCCCGGAATTCATATGCCTACGCCATTTGATTTCAGGGAGGAGGACTCACGTGGCAAGACAGGGAGGTATAATTGTGTGCGAGCGAGAGTGGGGACAGGGCGCTTTTGTATTCAAATGCAGCCCAACAGCCATTCTGGCCCATTACGCCCTTTCAAATCCCACATCACTCGCACTTCACCAGCATTATCTCCTCCCCACCCCACCCCACCTTCTGGCGAGTCCCGCCCACGCCCCGCCCCAGCGCCCCTCATTCCCGTTCACATCCCCTTTCTCCCGGATCCCCATCATGTCTGACCTATCCGTGTCATTATGATGCATTCAGGGCTTCCATTGATTTATTATTATAACCAGTTCGACGCCCATGCGTCAACATAGCAGAAGGAAGAAAAAAATATGGAATTCTCTAACGGTGACACCAAGCTGGGTTCGTGTAATTTTCCGAAAACCAGTTTGAAGTGGTCTTATTATAGATGCATATACACGACAGTGCGATGTGCCCCGGCATTTGCCACACGGACACGCTGCTTTTGGATTTCATTCTTTATCCCTCGGTTCCATCTCTGAATTTGACTCCGCCTCACGACCGTAAACGTGTCAAAAGCACCATGAATGTGTGTGACCATTATTCATTTACAATGACATATTCCAGCCTCCATTTTTATTTTTTCCCCCCAAAAAACCTACGAGCTGATTTGATTGTTCGACCCGGTGCTGTCTCGCGAAAGAGCATTTCGTGAGATTTACGGGCTTTTGAACGGGCGTGGGTGGAGATTTTTTTTTTAAGCGATGGTGATGGGATTATGGGATCTGAAGTGGGTAAGGCAGCGGCAGCAACAAGAATAATAATAATAATAACAACAAGAAGGACAGTGATAATAATCTAATGAATAAGAAGGGGGGAAAAAGAAAAGATTAGGGAGGAGAGAGTACCAAACCCCAGCGTCAACTGTGAGCAGAGAATTAGAGAAATAGTCTTCCCATTGAAGTAAAGTTAGTTGAAGCTGGGGACATTGAGTGAGAAAGTGGGCAACCTCGCTTTCTCTCAGCCTCATGATGATTATGGAACCAAAAAGAAAGAAAATTATAAATGCAAGCTACAAAAGGTGAAAGTGGAAGCTGGAAAAGTAATTTCATCCGCGCAAGGGAACCCGATTCAAAGGAAGCCAGCTGCCCCTCCCTTGAAACCCATCCATCCAACCACCCACAGCAATCATGTGGTGCTGGAAAGCAGACGCCGGCTGAACAATTCCGCTTCCCAACACCACCAGACGTTTTTCCTCTGCTCTCCCTTCCGCCTTCTTGCGACGAGGTATCTCTCCCTCTCTCTCTCTCTCTCTCTTCTTTTGAGGATTATTCTAATCTTGTTTTCTTACTTCTCTCAACTTTTCCTCCCTCTCATCCTCGGGATCCCTCCTCTCTGGTGTCAGATTATGTTTTCTTCTCACTCTTCTTGTCCTCGTTTAAACTCTCAGAAAACAACTCAATTCACTTCCTCTCCCCGTTTTTGACTCGCTATTATCTTCTCTGCTCTACCAAGCTTTCTCAGATCAACTAGAATTTCTTTTGCGTAACCGAAAATTCTTTTTTGTGGGCTTTTGTTTTCATAATTCTGCCTTTCTGCCTTCCTTCGCGGGCTTTTTTCTCCCCCTTCTGCTCCTAATTTCGTCTCCAATAAGCCCTCAGCTCCTTACTGTGTATCCTCAAGAGCCATATTTGTTCGTCCTAGCTACCGTCGGATTTAATTTATGATTGATTATTCTGGTTTCCTCTTCTTTCTTTTACATAAAGCAACTTATTTTCCAAGTTGAATGAAGGATTTTCCATTTTGATTTCGTTGTTTGACGCTCGTCCGATCAGCAGCCCGATATGGAGGTGCTACGTCCTTGCTTGTGATCGGTTTGGTGAGTTTAATTGCTTTAGCGATTCCTAATTTTGATAAAGGTGAACAATGACGTGGCTCTTACATGTTAGAGTCGCTTGATTTTGTTTGAATTATCGAAGAACGCGTTTGTGTTCTTTTCTCGAACTACAGTCCTCCCCCCCCCCGGGGCGGGGCCAAAAAAAAAAAAAAACCAAAACGGTTACACATCTCAGCGTCGTTATGAAATATTTTTGTGAACTAGAAGAATGAGTGCAAGGAAAAATTTTTTTAGACCTGAAATTCAAGAATGGAATATTTTTTTACGTCCAAGCATATCTTACATACGAAGCTTGCTGAAAAGTCATTAATTTGGGCAGTAACTATACGCATGAGAACATGAGGTGGTATTTTATCTTCATTATCTTTGGCAGGAAGAAACAGTAATGCCACTGACATGGGAAAGAAGGGAAGTTGGTTTTCCGCAATCAAGAGAGTTTTCAGTCACCACTCCAAGGAAAAGGCAGTCAATGTAAGTGCCCTCCAACCTTAATTATACAAGCAAATGTCAATTGCTTGTTATTTGTTTATTATGGCATCCCCATTAGAAGGGGAAAAAAATTGTAAGATGGAATCGGGCGCTTAAGACAATGAACAAGTTTAGTAGTATTAATGGACAGACCTATTGCAACATTGGGGACTTTCTACCGTAGTGGTTTTTTTTTTTTTTTGCTTTTTTTTTTTTAAATTTGTATTTATAACAGGAAAACAGATCGTTTGAAATACTGGGGAGTCATCTATGAGCTTGTGTTATGATGCAATGGCCAAAGCCAATTTCTTTATTTTTCTAGACTGAATACTGAACAACCCTAAAGGTCCCAATACGAATTAAGGACTTCAAATGATTACAGTCAGAGTGGAACCTCTGGTATCTGACTCGTAAAACCTGATGCCCTCCTTTAACCCTACTCAGCATCACACAAACATTCTAATCAGCACAAAACTTGCGACACAAGTCATATACATAATGGATGACATCCTAAAACACCAAAACAACTAAAACACAAAATGCTTGATCATTTTGATGTTACATCAATTGATGCATTAGTTTTAAGTCTCTATACCCTTTTTCTCGAAGCAGGAAGCAGAGTTGTGGATGAGCATATGCATGTTTAATCTTCATAAGTTGCCATACCTTTGGGTGGCAGCATGAATTTGTTTCCACTATGTAGATTAACGCGTATTTGTCTCACCATTTTGAATATTTATAGCAGGATTCTGAACAGAAAAACACAAAAGAAAAGAAGAAGAAAGGTCTTGGAAAACTAAGGCGTGGAGAGACAAATTCATTCATTCCCCTCTTCAGGGAGCCAAGCAGTATTGAAAAAATCTTTGGGGACTTTGAAAGAGAGCAGCAATTAGTAACTTTCAGGCCTGACACGCCTCCTGAGCTACCCAAAACACCACCTTTTGTGCCTCCCAGAGCTGCTTCTCCTAGGGCTCCTTCGCCAAAGACTGCTTCTCCAAGGGCTCCTTCTCCAAGGGTTGCTTCTCCGAGAGCAGCATCTCCTAGGAGGATTGTTCATCACCATAGACCAGAACCAAAGCTAAGGAACCACCATGCCTCAGCAACTAAGATCCAGGCTGCGTATAGAGGTTATATGGTAAGCTTTCATGTTGTAAAGTAGTCTGCACAGTTCATTATTCCATTCTTACACAGTCTTCATGCCTGTGGTTACGTGTCCGTAGTAAGAAACTGTACATTGTTGAAATTATAGTAGAATAATGTAGATCATTCTTTTCTTATTTAAAAGCACATTCAAGCATTTGAATAATGGATTATAAATCACTTCATTTGCAAGTTTTGTGGTGAAAACCAAGGGGGCCTGTTATTTCTGGCAACCTTTAAATTTGTGGGTGTGAGTAGGCTTTGAATATTGTGTTAATTTTGAGAAAGTATATGGTGATAGCTTAATTTGGAGCAGAAAAATAAATTTTTGTGATTTACTTAAAAATGGCCTTATAAATAGGACTGGAGGGGGCATTATATAAACATGTTTTTTTCTGTGCATTGCATGGAATCTAATGAACTAGTCACATTTTCAAAATTTTTAAGTAGTGCGACTTGCTCTAAATTTTATATTTTATATTGGTTTTACTTGCTCTGCGTTGATATGACACAATGGACCCAGCTGATGTGATTTACTATCTGTTTTACAGGCTAGGAGGAGTTTTAGGGCTCTGAAGGGTCTGGTGAGGCTTCAAGGAGTGGTAAGAGGACAGAATGTGAAGAGGCAGACGATGAATGCCATGAAATACATGCAATTGTTGGTGCGGGTTCAATCTCAGATTCAGTCCCGGAGGATTCAGATGTTGGAAAACCAGGCACGATATCAAGCTGAGTACAAGAATGATAAAGAAGTGGCAAGTAACTTGGGCAAGTTGACTTTAGGCCATGGAGTAAGCCCTTTGACTGAGTTAATGAACCTTATAGGACTGATGCTACTCCAATCTGCAGGCTCTGAAATGCCTAATTGTTGGGCTTTCCCTAGATGTTGCATCTTTGCACGCACGCATACAATAACTAAATTTGGTTTTTAACAGATACTTTAACTACTAATCGATGGTAGGAGCTTACTTGTGCCGAGAACCAATGCTTGCCAAACTCAATTTATTCCCTTCAAAGCTAAATATCTCTTCCTTAGTAGTGGCGCATCAGTGGCTTGATGCTGCTTAATTATGACTTATGAGATTATGCACTAATACCTGTTAAATGGTTGATTGGGTCAACCATAGGCCACTTTACTCTTGCTTATAATGTCTGTCGTGCTAGTTTTAAATTTAGCAAACAAAGTTCAAGAAAAGTTACGCCGAGTTCTCCTTAAAATACTCCTGTTACTAATGTGCATAGGCTTGTATTTCCAGTTCCCTAATGCTTATGTAAATGAAGCTTAACATTTTTTATAATTTGAAATTTGGTTTCAGTCTGAGGCAGGTAACCATGAAGATTGGGATGACAGCTTACTGACAAAAGAGGAAATAGAGGCAAGGTTGCAGAGGAAGGTGGAAGCAATCATCAAAAGAGAAAGGGCAATGGCATATGCGTACTCCCATCAGGTACTATTCTCCAACCCATCCTTCACTGTTAATATCAAACAATTCTTTATGCTTTGCTTTCTTTTTCTTTTAATATTTGTCATCAATAAGGATACGAAAAGGGCACAGCCTATATTATTATTACTAAATGGGATATGGTTGTGGTCTCTCCGATGTATAAAGTACTGAACTGGATCAGGCAGATGAAAAAGCCTGGTTATTGGTCCAAATTCGGACAATGGGGTGGCTCACCCTGAGAAGGAATTGGTCAAATATCGGTTTAACCTATCATTCATCGGTCAAAATTGGTGGTTCTAATTGGTTGATTTTTTTAAAATAATTTAAATTATGTTTCTAAGTTATGATTTATTCATCATAACACATCTAATGAGCTTTGGGAAATGAATACTAGTGGCAAATGATCAAGAAATATATGTGTATATTATAAAGTTTGTTATCAAATGAGTATGTACATTGTAGCATCTTACATCTCATAACTATTGCGTTTTTATTCTTTAAGTTATAAAATCTTAACTTTTTAAATTATATTTTCTCTTCTCATCTTCGCACACTTTTTTTTTAAGAAAAAAATGTTGTTTTATAATTTATATTTGGAATCAATTTTTAATATATTTTTATAAGTAACTAATTGTGCAAACATCAAAACCAGTATGATTACTTAATATCTATTTCAAATTTTGGCTTAAAAGATATGTTCACAAGATTCATAAGGATTTTGTCTGTCATGTGGCATGGGCACTTTTTAGAACGAGGCAAATTCATGGAAAACTAATTAGAAAAACATCTGTTAGGTTAAGTAGGACAGCCTGGTTGACTTAAAATATCTCCAGAGTGTACTAATTTTGTTGACTTTGCCTGCAGTTGTGGAAAGCCACTCCTACATCAACCCATACACCGGGGTCAGAGATGCGATCTGGGGGATTTCCATGGTGGTGGAACTGGTTGGAAAGGCAGCTGCCCTCAGCAAACCCTCAAGGAGGCCAAGTCTTGAAGAATTTTCAATTTACACCTCCCAGACCATATTCTGAACAGAAGACTAGTCCACAACCTGCCTCAAGCACCCATAAGCAGCAGCGCTATGGGTTTGATAATATGGATGCAGCCACACCAAAATCCACTAAATCAGCTGTAGTATCATCCGCAAAACCAGCAAGAACCCCGCAAGGAAACAGCTCAAGCTTGCCTAAGTATTCGAGAACAAGGGTGGGGGGAACTGATTCACCTTTTGATGTGCCACTCAAGGATGATGATAGCCTCACAAGCTGCCCACCATTTTCAGTACCGAACTACATGGCTCCAACCCTATCTGCCAAGGCCAAAGTGCGTGCTAGTAGTAATGGAAGAGAAAGTTTTCCTGGGACTCCAAACTCTGAATCAAAGAGGCGGCTTTCATTTCCTCTTTCGCAAGGAATTGGGTCCTTCAAATGGACAAAAGGGTCCTTGTTCTCAAGCAAGGATCCTAGACCTCAAAGGATGTTAGATAAGAACCAGTCACTTCAATCTCTAGGAAACTTGAGTGTGGATTCAACCGTGTCTTTACCCGCAGGCGTTGGAAGAAAGCCGTTTAACAGATTTGTGTGATTTTTATTTTGTGGCGCATTCTTTTGAACACCCCCCGCCTCCGGGGGCGCCCCTGCTCTTTGTACCTGGTGGTGTTGTGAGTTATGTTATGATTTGAGTGTGTGATGATAGTTTGAGAAAAAAAGGATACATTTGTAAACTAATAAAGAGATGATAGGAAATGACGGTCTCGTCATATAGTATTTGCTTTTTATTGAACGGTACCGCATACAGAATTCAATTTGGTTTGCCTTCAGTTTATTTGCAGTTCATGCGATTCTGATCTGACGCGAATTTTGATCCAACTCATCCAAGAGCCAGACTGGGGTGTTGGTATCACTTGGAAAACCCAGGCTGTTATAGAAGCGATTAAAATACTTGGCTTGGGACTGAAGGGCACATATGCGCTGAATGGGTGGCCGTTCTCGTAAATTGCTGCTCTGACGACCCGAACGAACGTTGTACTTGGACAGAATGCCCGGGACACGCAGTCTTGTTTCTTTCTTTCTTTCTTTTTCAACTTGCGTGCCTGCAAAAAGTCACGCAAACGGCATACTCATGTTAGGAAACAAAGGGTGAGCAGCACAAAAGTAAGTTATTTTCAATCTCATATTTAGAAAAGAAAGATGAGGTAAAAATTAGATTGAGTAATGTGATTTGTGTTTGGATTGATTTTTATAAAAAGTTTGTAAAGTTAAAAAATTGTTTGGATTATGATTGAATAAGTAAGTTTAGTTTGTAAAATGATCAAAATGAACATGACTTTTATTAAATAATGAAAAATAATTAAAAATATGAATTTACAAAATATAATAATTGTAAATTATTATAATAAAAAAATTTATATTTAATGAATAAAATATATTTAAATTAGAAATCATAATAATGTGAAAAATTTTAAACCAAATAATATTACATAATTAATTAGATAATGGAATTTGCATAATTTATGTAAATATAAAATAAAAAATAATATTAAAAATTGAAAATATTATAAATACTGTTAAAAATTATTTTCATTTAAGAGAACATTAAAAAGGAAAAATTACGCACAGGTCCCAATGAAGAGACTTTATTCATCTAAGGTCTTATGAAATGTCAAAATTACTAGTAGGTCTTAACGGACCTTAGAGTATTATATTCTAATTATAAAATGACATCATTGCCCCTCAAATTCCCCATTCACATTTTTTCTGCCGTTGCGATTGACAACTTCAGCAACACTATTAACAACCCAATGAAAGGTGTTGACAACCTAAGCAGTATCCGTTGACAACTTATTTTATAAGATCACATAACCTTCACATAAGAGTAAATTATAACCAAATAGTATAATACAATAATTTTAACACTGAAATGGGAAGAATTTCATAACATTAAGAACTTTAACTAAACCCAATAGGATTATAGCAAAATTTTAATGCGGAGATCTATTAACAACCTCAACAATGAGTATTGATAATCTAAAAAGAGCTATTGACAACCTAGATAGTGTTTGTTAACAGCTGATTTTATAGGATAATATAACCTCTAACAACTATAACTAAATTATAACTAAACAGTGTTAAAGTTGATTTTATGTAGTTGTTATGTTATACTATTCAGTTATAATTTGATCTTATATAGATGTTATATTATCCTATAAAATCAGTTGTTAATAGACATTGCCTAAGTTGGTAACAGCTCTCTGTGGGTTATTAATACTCATCATTGAGGTTGTCAATAGATCTCCACATTAAAATTTTGCTATAATCCTATTGGGTTTAGTTAAAGTTCTTAATGGTTTTGAAAAGTTTTCCATTTCAGTGTCAAAATTATTGTATTATACTATTTGATTATAATTTACTCTTTTGTGGAGGTTATGTGATCTTATAAAGTAAGTTGTCAGTGGATATTGTTTATGTTGTCAGTACTTTTTTATTGGGTTGTTAATAGTCGCTGCTGAGGTTGTTAATTGCAATGGCAAAGAACATGTGAATTAGAAATTTGAAGGGTAGTGATGTTATTTTATAATTAGAATATAATATTATAAGATCCCTTAGGACCTACTAGTAATTTTGACATTTTGTGAAACCTTAGATAAATAGTCTCTTTCTTGGAACCTGTGCGTAATTTTCCCTATTAAAAATAAATAACTAAAAATTGATTACAAAGTACAAAATAAATATAGAGAGAAGCATAACAACAACATCACTATATAGACAAAAATGTTTTTTGATTCTAAAAAACTGTTTTTGCATAAGTTATAATTAAGTAAGTTTTATGTGTTTTTACAATTATACTTCAAAAAGCAGCTTTTGATTTGTAAGTTAGATTGATCAAAAACTGTAATAAACAGTGTCCAAAATTACAAGCTGACTGCATACTTTTCTCCCCTCAAAACATCTTGCCAAACATGCTGAAAATAATAAATGTGGCGTTAGTGCGTTACCATGAACATTTTGCTGTCGGAGCCATGTTTTCTCTTGGTTTAATTCACCCGGTGCTCGGTTCTACTGCATTCGAGTTGACTTTTGGTCGCTGTCATATCACCGCTCTCGCTGTGCCAATAAATATAATTTTGTAGTATAAATTATATTATAAAATAAATATTATATATAGAATCGAGCAGCATAAGAGTTACTAATTTAAATAAATTTAAAAAAATTATATTTCTTCCAGTCTTTAATATAAGAACTAATTAATTAATTTAAATAGATTAAAAAATTAGTTATTTTAATTATTTCTAATAAATATGTATTGTCTTTTCTAAAATATTCTTATTAATCAAATATATTAATTAGAACTATTATTATTACAAGAATTATCTTAAGTAAAAATAGATAACTATGAGAGATAAAGTGGATTGAAATCTTATATTCAGAATCAAAATAAAAGTCAAATAAGTTTTTATATTAAGAAATAAAGATAGTATTAATTATTTATAATAAATATATGTTAGTTTTTAAAAATATTTTTACTAATTATGCATATTAGTAGAACTACCATCTGATGTCATATTTAACATATGTAATTACTGTAAAAATTATTTTTAATAAATAAATATAAAAGATAAAATAAATTAAGATATTATATATAAAACTAAATTGATAAATTAATTTTTATATTAAGAATGGTAGTATAACGTTAGGAAATAACGCCACCGTTCTAATATCGTCGTGCTGCATACCAGACGCGCGAAACATGTTGATTTGGATCCGGCATCAGTCTTCATCTGTTCGCGAATCATGATCCTCTCGATCTTATCGAAATTTGGTCGGCATTAATGAAATCCACCCGAATATCCAAAGATCGCGCTTTTACTTTAGTTCGAGTAACCATATAGTATCTCTATTTTTTATTATAAAAATTAGTTAATCAATTCGAGTAGGTTGAGAAGATTTAGTTAATTTTTTGCAATAAAAAACTATCATTTGATAGAATGTAATACATCATAAGTATAAAATTTATAAAGGTACTTATAGGTTGTCTACCAACAAAATTTTTATATTGAGAGTGAGATTCAAACTCATGATTTTGTGATATATAAACCGACTGCAACTATTGTTGTTTTGTTTTTTTTCATTTTAATCAACCAGGAGGCTTTGAGTAGAAAAGAAATATGGGCCTAGATAGGTTGGGCTGGGCCAGCCCAAAAGGAGATTAGTAAGCAAGAAGACGCGCATATGTAAGGCTGTCCGTGATGAAGGGACGTGACAAGAGCAAGGCGAGGAAAGGAAGGCGGAGACGAGAGCATCTTACGGCAGCAAGAATGGCTCTGAAACCCACCCCTCTCTCTTGCCGATCTCCCAAGTTCAATCTGTCTTCCTTTGCCCTCCCTCAGATGGCTACCCTCAGATCCCCCCGGTTCATCATGGCCTCCACCCTTCGTTCTGGTTCTAAGTCAGTTCTACTCTCTTTCGATCTCTTTTCTTTTCCTTTTTCTCCTATTTCATCTCTGCTCCTTCGCTTCTTTTTCTTTTCATTCTTACATGCATCTTATCTTTGCGTCTCTTCACCTTTCTATTTTTATCAATTGTTACTTTATTTTCTTCCTTCTCCCCTTCTTATTTCTTCCGCATCTTCTTTCCTTTTAGCTTTCAAGTCTAAGCCTCATTTCATTGCCAAATATCTCATGTTTCTGCCCCTTACCCTTGTTCGACGTGCTTTTGATCACAAGCCTACTCATTCTAAGTCGCCCCTTAGTACTATTGATATTTCCTTCTAAGAAGCCTTGGTCTATAGAATTGTTGGACTGATGCCCCTGGAGTATCATTCGACCTCTTCGTGGTTTCATTTTTCGATATTTTGTTTGGTAATTGGATGGTTGGGGTGGTTCGATCGCAGTCCTTCCCTTTTCTATTTTCTTCTGACTAGGAGTTTCGATACGCGTCTTGGTGTTTATCTTTTCTTTGGTTGGTGAGGATTAGGAATTGCTCAGACGCATATAATAATAACAAAGAAGTTTTAATATCTCTTTTACACACTTAATTTTTGTATACTTATATGTCCCCTGACTCTTGGTGGGTAACACCTGAGGGAACTATGTGTTTAATTTCAAAGCCAACTGGACCTCGGAATATTAGTTGCCCTGCTTGCTGGCAGATTTTTCCTTTCCCTCGGAATTTTCTCATTCCCGTATCGATTTATTTGGCGCCCCCTTTCCAAGCCCCTGAGAAATCGGCCTCGTCATTGTTTAGCTCATGTTTCTCTTTTGTATAACTCATCTCTTTCTTCAACATCTTTGACAAGAGCTTTATTTAGAGTTGTTCATTCTGTTATTTTGGTTGATAATTATATATAAGTCTTTTCTCTTTGTTGTTGGAATGTCTCCGTCTCTGTTTGTTGATATTCATGCCACCTTTAGGCCAGCGCGAATTAACATCCTCGGTGTTGCCTTTATATGTTTTATTATTTGGTTTTATATTGACTTCCTGCTGTATTTTTTTTTTTTTCACTTAAAAATGTAAATAACGTTATAGTTATGATTTTATCTGATCTTTATACCTCCTCTTTTTGATATTTGTTCAATTTTTCTTCTTTCTTGCTGTTGTTTTATATATTTGCTAGTTGCTGTAGTGTCTATTTTACATATCTTCTGCAAATTATGTATTTCTGATGTTGATGAATGCTGTGATAAGTTATGCTAATCTTGTTGGATGTGAATATTAAGTGTTTGTAAATTGTAACACCAGTAAAATTCATTGTATAGGGATTGGTTAGCAAGGACTTTGAGGTTAGCTCACCCAATATTTTTGGTCTATGTAGTGTCTCATGCTAGATATA